TCTCTGCCAGAAGTGCAGGACACACATAGCTACGGCATGCTCACGACCAAAACACATCTCTTTGATGCAGGCCCGTTCCAGACCCTTTCCCGGGCTGGCCTCGGGGTGTCGCACTCGCACCTCAGGAAGAGATCACGTGACGTCTTAGTTCTGCCTCACGCCTCACATTTTGCAATCGGCACTGCTTGAGGCGAGGACCCAGCTGCTCGGGAGAGCAGGGCTGGTCGCCTGGCAGCGTGTGTCATGTGGGGCACCGCCGCTGCAGGCTCCAACTCGCATGAAGCTGAGACCGCCGCAGCGACCATGATCTGATCTGCCACCTCAGTGATGTCCGGATGGTCTTCCTACAGCTAGAATGCAACAAGCTCCCTGCCTTGGCTGCAAATTGGACGCCAGAGATGAGCCTCACGAGGAGCAACCCCGAAAGACCAGCCACAATGCAACCACAACGGTTGGACGCAGGGGCGCCGGCGTCGACAAGCAGCCCGGGGTCTCCTCCTTCACCCCCAAGCCACGCAATCATCACAGAGCACGGACTGTTACTTGTGCAGTTCTGGTACTCACTAGGGCCTACTCACTGTTACATTTTAAATTGGACTCTATTCTATTAGCAGCAGCGCTGCGACAATACTGACGACACCCATCGACTGCTACTGTTAATGATTATGAGAATGTGTGCCCCATGATACCATTGCGGGTGCAGAAACACGTCGCCCTTGCCCGCGGTACAAAGCTGGATGCCTCGCCACCCTCGGGCTCGGCAATGGCCAAGGTATTGTCCTAACCAGTGGCATGGATGCTGGTGCAACATCAGGCGCATCGAACAGGCAGGCCTCCGCCAAAGCGGCCTGGGTCAGACACCAGCATGAAGTTTCAGCACAAATAATCGCAATAAGAGGTAGGTGCCGTTCCATCTAATCACATGTCAACAGTGGGGACACGTGACCTTACGGGGATCAACTTCATGGGATTCTGGACCTGGACAAAGAATACCCAGAATCGAAAGTCAGAGCTCTTCTTGAAGGCGCATGCGCACTTGGGAGATTGTCAACCCAGACTCAGACCAATCAATCAAGCGTGAGCAGCCAGGAAATCGGATGGTTTAGAGTTTAGAGTTTTAGACCATGAAGTAATTTGAACCTAATGTGACAAAGCTTCGTGAGTGCGCAAATGCACATCTTGAGTGCAGACTGCCCCCCCCCTGCTGAAAAACTTACCCGCATTGTCTATGGCATGCCCAACATACCACACTTCCTGTCATCTTTTGGTTTCAGTGGACCCTGAAAACTGCAGAGGCAGTCAACAAAATGCGCCAGCCCCTTCTTCTCAAGCTTATTCAGAACAACTGGAGAAAACACTGGAAACAAGTATCGCGGAAGGATGTGGAAGGCATCGCAATCTCTCAAGTCGCGGCTTTTCATCGTGTGCTTGTACATGCTGGCACGAGGGAGCAAACGCCATTCTTTGCGCCCGTCACTTCCAAACACGTGTCGGATAAAATCTGCAGTGAAGGCAATGGTTCCCTGGTCCAACTTAAAGAGAGCACCTTGAAGCCCTCCAAGAGGATGATCCCAAAATATGCGAAGGAACTTTCAAGCAGCGCGCAGAGCAGCCTAAAAGCAAGCAAATGAAAAACGCCCGCTCGAAAGACATGGCCTTCCTCGAGACACTGGCGCACAACTGGCACGCATCCTATCACCAAATCGTGGCAGCTCACACGGAACAGGCAACGCGGAAAGCAACATGGGGTTCGAGCAACAACCCGCTGAACGTCTCATATAGCACCTCCCGAGATTTCCAAACTGTAGTCTTGACAACATGCTCTTTGAAGTGCATTGTATTGCCAAGCCAATGGCTTCACATTCAAGTCAAGACGAGGTTACGAGGGTTAGGGCACTCTCCGAGACCCTCTGAGATGCCAGCCAGGGTTGGCGAGCGCTTCTTTTTGCCAGCCTCCCGTGGAACGATGCCGATGGAAAGTCTCACGACACCCCAGGAGCCCGAGCTCTGCTCCGACTCATCATTTCTGTAGAAATCGCAGCACGTATGAAGTTCTAGGGAGGTTGCTATGTTGCCACGTGATCTCTGCCCAACTGGTAACTACCAAAAACAACTGCACGGCCCGCACACTGTTCCAATGCCCAGGCCTGGAACCAAAGATCTGGCTTCTGGCACCACTTGCACTTCTCGGTCACACATGCAGGGGACGTCAGCTTCACACATGGCTCCGTTTTCGCGGTGCTTAGGCCACAACGCACGCCGCAAGATGCACAGTCACCTGGCCAACACACTTGACAACCTTTTCAAAAGGCATGCTCGGGCCCGTTTCGCCTCTGGAGTGCCCAGGTCAGCGGGCAGCTCCTGGCAAACATCTCGAAGAGTTTGGGCGCTTTGTTGTGACATGAGCGCTGGCAGGGTTGCACGGGAACAACACCATGGCAAATACCAGTGAAAAGGCCCGAAACAAGATTGTTCTCGGACACGCTCCATTCGCACCATCTCCATCTCTAACTAACATCTGCCCCATACTCCCGCACCTACACCACCTTGCCATACAATGTACATAGTGACATAGTTAGAACTTGCACCGGGTTACTCTGCGGAGTATCTTGCAATCAGCATCAATACCACAGGACCCCGCCAGGTAATAAAAACGTGTCCAGGGCGCCACGTTCCATCTCCACCCTTGGCTTCGAAAAGCAAAACTAGAAGCAAACCTGGTAGCATGCTACACAATGAGCAAACTCCATGGCAATCGAGGGACAAGTCCGGGTGGCGTCTGATATCCATGAAATGAACATGGCTTTCACGGGCGCTTTGATAGAACAACTACTCAGCTCAAGTCGTATCTAGCAATCTCGGAGCGGTTGCATCTGTACCTGATGACTGACGAGACATTACCTGCCGAGCCTGACTCGACTCACTTGAGCACAAAGCAGGCTGTGGATGACTTGAAACTTGTCCGAAGGCCAACTGTTTCAGAAAGGGCTGGGGCCCTCCTAGTGACAGGGCTGCGCCTGGGATGGTGGAGTTGCCAGCAACGCAAAGAAACACTCAGTTGTGGCCCCCAGCGCAATTGCTAGCACCATAGCCAGCGAGAAGAACCTGAAAGTGCACTGCCGCCCTACCAGTGGTTGTAAGAGACGTGGTTTTCAGCTCAGGCTGCAGATCAGGCACACAAAGAAAATGCATCTCAGCCGCACAGTGGTTTCGTACCAGTACCTGGGATCCGCTTTGATGTCAAGCGCCCGGGGCGGCAGGCGCAGCTGTACGAATATATCGGCTTGCTGAAGCTTTGATTCGTCTGGTCATCTAGAACTCCAAAAAATTATGATAACACTGCAGCGAAGGGGCTTGTGCATGCCTTGGCTTTGTTTCACTGACCAATGCATGACATGAAATAGGGGGCACACGAAGAAGGAGAATGCGTTAACTTGTGCCGGCTGTGTCTTCTGACGCTGGCCCCCACAGCAGAACGAGCTGAATTTCGGAATGCCCAGAACAACCATAGAATGCACACAGAACAAACACATCGGTCGTCACGACAGTCATCCCACCATATCTGATCAAATCTGAAACCTGCCTGCTTTTGCCATCCCCCGTGCAGAAACAAACAACGCAGTAGACTGGCTGATCTGCCGTCAAAGTGCTGTCATCAGGGTGCAACACAGCCGTGTCTTCCCGAACCACCTTGACCAAGGCAATTTCAGTGATATCCATGGCGCAGGATGAAGAATCCGCAAAGGGTCAGCAACAACCCTGCAACTTGCATCTCTCCCTTGAAGTCAAGCAAGCCTTGTCTGAGACCTCGCTGTCATCGGCACTTTCTTCTACATCCTCGCTGGTCCCGTTCTCACCTCTGAGCTCTGCCAAATGAAGCCCAGGGGAGCGAGGAGTTGGGGATATTACCCCAGTACTATAGTATATTGGGGTTATAAAGGGATAATGGAAAAGAAAAAGGAAACTACTATAATTGAGAATCCAATGGAGAAGAAAATGGAAAATGAAATGGAAACGGTGATTATAGGGTAGTTTTTATTGGGGTTATATAGGGATAATGGAGAATCAAATGGAAAAGAACATGGAAAATGAAATGGAAACTGGGGTTATATAGAGGTTATATTGGGGATATAGGGTTTGGGTAGAGTAGTATTTTATCAATTCCTCTTACTTCCACTGCGGGGCAAAGCAAAGATACAGGTTGGCATTCCATGTTTCCTGTTGCGCGATCTCTTCCTGCTTTCCCAATATTGGGGTTATATAGGGATAATGGAAAATAAAATGGAAACTACTATATCATATTCGACATGCGCATCGCACACAGCAAGCACGGCAGATACTATATCATATTAGTGTTTAGGGTTCTATATTGGGGTCCTTTTCCTTTGCATCCAAACTGCCCTGGGACTCCAGGTCTTCGACTTGGTAGCCTCGGCGCGCACGTGCCAAATGCTTGCGAAGGGATCACGAAGGCTTACAACAACCTGTGGAAGGTCTAGTCCCCCTGAAATAGATAGAATATGGCTTTGGGTACATTATAATCAGATCCCACATTTACTTAAGGGGGACTATAGCTCGTGCAGCTCCCCATAGCTGCCGCAGAACCGGCCTGCTTGTCTCGGAGATGCCGTGGCAGTTGTTGCCGTGGCCATAACCTGAGGGTCTCCACTCTGCATGTGCACGGCGGTGTTGTCGAGAGACATTGATATTGTGGTATTTGGGGCCTAAAACTCTGTTATTTGGTTCCTTGGACCCTTAGGACGTGAGGGTCTCCACTCTAGACCATTCCTCTTGGTACAAGGCTTCTTTCAAGTCGAGCCGCTCGCCGAAAGCCAGCTTGCAGAATTTTGACGACTTTACTTAATTAGACCCAAACAACCTAATCCTGTTCTTTCTGAACTCTTCTGTCTGATAGCAGCTGCAGCCAAACGCATGCGGAAGTTCTGTTGTCAAGCATGGCATCACAACAGCAGCTAGCAAGCACAGCAGCTGCTTCCTGCCTCGTGACCCTTGGAAAGAACAACCTCATCGGCTAGCTTTTCATCACCGTCGAAAAGTGGGCTCTTTGCGAGGGCCCGTCCGCGGCATCTTTCGCATACTGCACCGCAGACCTTACTTTTCCGCAACATCAAAACAAGTGTCCACAGCTCTGCCTCCTTCCCCAAGAAGCACGAAAGGCCTCCCTGACTGTGAAAATTCTGAGTCTGAGGCTCAAAGATTGCCCGGTTCGGTTGAGCGGCTGCAGACCTCAGCGAACAGCTTGCATGCAGCTCTGCACAGTCAACCATGCCTCTCATTGGGTGCGGTGCTCTGTGGAGATTGCAGCCTTAAGCTGCTTCTCAACCTATGCAGCGAATTCAGTCGAAGCTAGCCAACAGTGTCCCTTCTGGACACAGCAAGCCCTCTTGCAAGCTCGCACCTCCTCAGCAGAAGCCAACGTCCGGGAAAAGTCGCTACGCCTTGCGAGGTAGGACCACCCTTTGTCGTCTTTGCTCCGTGTGCTGCAGCAGCTAAGACGCAGGATCAGCTCTGAGCTTGCTGCAATGGTGCTCCCATTTGCTCATCATCCAAAGACACTTTAAGAGCCTGGGCAATGCTGCAAGCAAAGCCATCCCCGACCAGCGCAGCTTTTCGTGATGTACATCATTGCCAGATCGAGCTGAGGAAAGCGCTTTTTCAAGAAGTGCTAAAGCCTCAGTGAGGAGGCGGCTTCACGCGGGAGAACCAGAAGCAGTCCAGGGCGTCAACCCAAATTTGCGCTACATGGCCTCATACCCCTGTGTAGCATGATTTCATACACGGCTCTTTGTGCCATGGCTCATCATGCCCTTTCCAAGGCAACTGCCCGTAGCAGAAGCGACAATGCTTCCAAAGGTGCATGTTCCACGAGCCTGTCTGTGCATCAGCCCGCAAGTAACAGGAACAGCAGGGCTGGCTCTGAATACATAACGCGTAACAGTCATCGTCATCATAAACAGCAGAACAGCAGCAGGAAAAACAGCAGCAATAGAGTTATCGTCGTGGTGGTGGCGGTTGCAGTGCGTTTATCTAAGCAAATGTTTTCTAGAACTCAGTAGTACTCAATGCACCTCAAGCGGCGCAGTGACCCCGACTTTACCTCGCCTCCCTCGGATCTCGGGATTAGAATATCCTCTGGGGTCCCCACTGAGGGATCCTTGCATTTCGAGGGTGAAGGAGGGAACCCTACTTGTGATAGACACTCATTCATCTGCTCCAGCTCATGTCATTTTTGAGCGCGCTGTTGGATTCAAAGTGGGACCTTCTGTCCAGTATTGCTTCAGGCAGAGGGCTGATACTCAGATGTACAGCATTGTACAGTGCAAGGCACAAAACCCACCACGACGTGGTGTGGCAGATATGGAAGCGGGCACAGCAGCATTTTCGGACTGCCTAAGAGCCGCGAAGCCTGCACGCCTCCGGCTCTTCCCGTTTGCTTCTTTTCGTACGCGTAAGATAATTGCTACAAGGCACAATGACTAAAGACATACACCATGTGTGCTCTGGCCGAAGACATGCTGCCCCGTCGACAGGCGGCTCTGATGCATCTCAGCTTCCAGCTCTGCCTTCAATACAGGGATGGCTACACTCTCATGTCCTGTTTGCCTGTGCCCTAGTGATTCTTGCCACGAGGCCTGCGACGGCCGCTTAGTACCGGTACTTCGTACAGTAGTCCTGCACAAGTGTTTGCATGAATCATCGAAACTGATCTTTGGCGCAAGCGCGTAGGTCCTTGGGGGACATGACCAGACCTCTGCCCTTGCGAGCACCGCGGTAAATAGTCTCCACAATGTCAATGAACTCCTGCAGGCACCGCCCAGCACTTCGCTGAAAGGAAGGAAACCCATCTGCGCCTGCTTGTCGTTCATGGCCCAGTTCACTTTGTTGTTGTTACCTGCAACGAAAGTGCAACAAAGAATCGTAGGTCCAACTGCATTAAGATGCTTTTCTTGCCTGTTCCCAAGTCGATCATCATGTGCTTGTTTCGAAAGAAGAACATGACCGTGACTGGGTCGTAGAGCCTCAAGCCGCTGCACAAGCTTTCGGCGCGCTTCCTATGACCTGGCATGTGCCTATGTCGCATGTAGCGCGCATGTCTGTTGCATCACATGAGCCCACAATCACGAGACCAAATGGTGGGAAGCAAAGCAGCTCGTACATGGTGTTGAAATCCGGCACTTCCTTGACATCGACCAGGTAGATAATCGCGAAGCTCTTGATCTTCTCCTAATGCAAGCAGGAAAAGGTCAAATGCAAAACCTTTAGGCAGTGCTGGGCGCATGTGGATCCTGCACTTTTTGCTGCTAAGCGGCCGCTACAGAGTACAGGATCTCATCCATCCTCGATGAAGGACTTTGATTCTAAAAGGGCGTAACAGATGTGCTAAGCCATTCAACTTCTGAAGGAACTGAGGATGCTAGCTTCCTATGCGTTGGCAAGACACTTCATGCACTCCGAGTCATAGTCGTGCCCGAAGCGAATGATGACAAGACGCTCTTCCTCACCTGGGATGGCTGTTGCTTGCAAAGTCCAAAGCTTAAAACGCAAAGGCCAAACCAAGGCGCTTAGGATGGCCTGATCCACAGCCCATCCAGAGTGAAGGTGAGGAAGCATGAAAGACATGGCGGCGACAGGAAGACCTCCGATGCACCCAGGCTGGTTGAGGCCAATCGCCGCCCGACTGCAGCTGAGCCACGGTGCCCACGGTGCCAGCAAAGTGAGGAGACGGGGGCTTTGATCCCACGAAGCTCTGGAACGCACACTTGATGTGGTGAAGGACTACTAAACATGTGCGCGATTGTGAGCACCTCAGAGGACAGGTGTGCAGCTAAACCTGCTATCAGTATTAACTATTATTAGTAGAAACATTATTGATGCCGTTATTACTTTATTATGCTTTATGCTGTTGTTGTTATGCTATTGTTAATCTACTGTTGTTGTTATCCCAGTCTCTTGGTGCCTCATGGCGAGCTGCTCCAGAGCGCGCGCAATCCGACTCAGGTTGCTGCCTGAGGTCTGGTCAGCTCTGCCGCAAACCTTCCTTGCCATGGTCCCTGGCCCCTATAATGGGGTTATAGGGATTATGGCATAATGGGGTTATAGGGTATATAATGGGGTTATATAGGGATTATAGGGTATACAATCCCATTAGACTGGCCTTTGCTTAGCTGGGAATGAAGGAATGGAAAGGAACATGGAAACTACGTACTATAATGGGCTATATAGGGACTACTATAAGGATCCATTCCTTCATTCCTAGCTAACCAGGGGCTAATAAAACCCCATAAGCTACCTGTACAACCGTATGTACTCCACTAGCAGCTGGCCTCACAAGGGCTCATGGTCAGCTCCAAAAAGCTGGCTAGTGGTGGCTTCCCTAAATAGGGGACCCCAATATAGACCCAAATACTAAAATCCTTAGTCTAGGGACCCCAAAAAAAGGTATCCGTAATTTGAGGAAATCCCTCATGATCTGGGTGCAAGGCAAAATCCACTTGCGGCCTTGGGCAGTCTTTACACCAGGAGACTTAAATCCGCTGATGATAAAGTAACTTAAATGAAGTTCATTAAATCCCAGTTTCCATTTCAGCTTCCATGTCATTTTCCATTTGATTCTCCATTATAGTCCTACAGCTTAAACCCTACATACCCCAATATACTTCCTTAACAGCAACCCCGTTTTCTGTGTGTGACTTTCTTGAAGAACCGCCCGCAGGCTGCCGCAGCTTTCGCGAAAGCCTTGGGACCCCTAACGCAGCTGCGTGCCTTGGGTCCGCAGTGAGCATAACCCCAGCTTCCTTTCCATTATCCCTATATAACCCCAATATTTCCCTAATATAATGGAAAAGAAAATGGAAACTACTACTATGACTTATACTATATTAGTACTTTCCATTTTATTTTCCATTATCCATATAAACTACCCTATAATCCCAGTTTCCATTTCATTTTCCATGTTCTTCTCCATTTGATCCTCCATGATTGGGGGTTCCTGGGAGGGAGCCCCAAGGTCATGGAAGGCCTGGATGGGCGGTTGGCTTCAAGTTGGGTTGCCGTAGTTCAGATCTTGCAGCCTGACTTTCAGTCGGAGCAGCACTGTTCCTGCATGTGCCAGTCCGTTCCTCCTTTCCGCCAAGACTGCCAGGCGTTGCATTGGGTAATTTTGCAGGTAACCCATTAGCAAGCACGTGATGCATAATCACATTTGCTTCCGGATAAATTTCCGCTGGGTGGCAGCCGCGGGTGTAGGACCCTTCCCGCGTGCGAAAGATGTTGGAGTATTTGAGGTCACTACAACCTGGCACGAGCAATGTGCATTCGGAATGCGAGCAAGTCTGAACAGGACAAGTCGGGGAATTAGGGTGACTTCACTTCAGAATAACATCATGCCGGATGCGGCATACTCCTCGTCAACGCTGCCGTTCCTGCGAGGAGGTGCGTGCAAATTTGCTCAAGCTGCCGAAAGACCGGTTGGCACTGATGCCTCCGTATCCGGAAGTAGTTCGGAGCTGCAGGCGCCTCGTGCTCATTTTTTGCAATAAGACTGGGCAAGTTGTTCGGGGACACTCCCGCAAAGCATTCGCCAGAAACTACCTTGTTCAAAATGTTGACTCACTGAATAAAAAAGAAGCCGTTGTAAAAAAGAATGGCAGCAAGGTGTCCTTTTGGAGGGTCACACAACGTACCGCTGTGCCTCGTCACGAGTATCTGCACCGGACTCCTCCAAGGCTTTGTAGCATGAAAGTGGGTTCCATAAAGCTGATGGAAGTGGAAGTGATGATGGTAAAGCAGTAGCAGCATCAGACCCCATCGTCAACGTGGTGGCTGAATTGGTGGCGGCAGCAGGGATCATGGGAACAATCAAGGAAGAGCAGCAGCAACAGTTGCTGAAGCGGACAAGCAGGGGCAAAGGGAAAAGTAAGAGCAGAAAAGTTGAAGCAGCTCAGCAAGAGTACCGGGTGCGGATCTGGGGCGGCACTCAGGGTAGTCCTTGTGGTAGGGTACCCTTGTAGCAGGTTGTCCACAGCAACTTGTATTGATAGAAGTCAGAAAGTTGACCATCTTGCTCACTGGCTCCTTAGGCCGATCTCTGCAAGCTTCGGCGATGACCTGCAGACAGCACAGGCAAGCACAGCAAGGATACTTCCAAAGGTTAGTGGCAAGTGCAGAGGCTGAAGTCCGGTCAAAAGCCATCTGTGCTCAATATCAAACCTCTTCTCACGAACGGCTATGCATCTTGTAGTTGCAGCCCCGTGTGTCAGTACGTACTGCGAGTCGCCCAAGGCATAGATGGCAGCTAAAACGCTTTCTGAAGCTGCGCCTGAGCCATGAAAGGCGAGACCTGCTGGCACGCAAGACTTCGATGGCAAGTAAACATGCTGCCTGGCCATCTGCGCGACTAACGTAGCAAGTTTTACTTGCCGCCCTCCCGTCTGTGGTCACCTAGAATTCATTCACCGCCCTGTGTTGCACCTTTGTACCCGTGCCGACATGTGCCGACATGTGCCGACTAGAAACTAGAAACTCCGCTTATCGGCATCCCATCTTGCCACGCGTGCTAGGAGGTACCTTTACCAGCATGATAGCCGCTGACGCTTTACACTCGCACTTAAGACTTAAGCTTTGACGATGGAACACATGAAGTTCCATAGTATGCACGGAGCGCGGCAGCCTTTCCGGTCATGGTGTCAGCATTCGATGGTCCAGATCCGCCAGACATTCCCTGAGTCCGGTGTCTAAAGTGTAGTTCAAAAGCATGCTGGGATCGGAGGCTCCTCTAGTTGTTTGTGGCAGGCTAGATGCCAAACAATGCCAAGGAGGCTACGCGAGTCTCAGAATGCGGTCTGGCTGCCTAGGCAAACATGACTTAGTCTTGAGGCTGGTTCCCTAGGCCCTGCTGCAGACATGCTGAAAGCCCTGTTGAGATGAAGACCTCAGATGCAGAGAGCTCCTCGACCTCTTCCGGTGCATTCAACATGAGCTGCCATGGCCATTTCCTACCGCAACATTTGCTTTGCCTTCTTGATGGGTTCGTTGTTCTCGCCAGGAGCTGCATCCCCTCACCGGCGCGGGTCAACACAAGCAGATGCTTCGCATCTATGGGTGCTACTACAATACGTGCTCTAGCTAATTCCTCGTGTTGCTGCCATTTCAAGATATTGGTGAGCAGCTCAGTTCACGCCTTGGCCACTGGCACTGCCTGCAAGCAGCGCGAGCAAAGACTTGAGAATTACTCTTTGGGAACTTGGGCTCACCAGGTCCCAATTGACTCAGCTAGCTACAAGCTTTCGACTTGCTGAGGGGTTCATGATGACATCGGCTGTGCAGCTGTCACCCAAGGCCTCACTGCAAAACTGAGCCAGTGGCTGCTGGCTGTGACGAAGCCGCCATGAGCTTCTACAGCATCGCGTGGGCCTCAGATTTCACAGCATTCCATCACCTTTGGCCCTGATTCCTATGGGTCTCTTCTGGTCTCTTGACGGACGACTAAATACAGCTCTACAAGTATGATCTTTTCACACCTCTATTACACGTATGATCTTTGTGTTGTGGGCGATGATGCCTTTTATAACCACCCGGCAGACGTTCGAGGGCGAAGCTCTCCTCTGGCGAGTGGCAGGACACCGGTGATGCCTGGAAACCCTTCACTTCCACACGTTGCGTACGCACAAACTTGTCTACAACCATTCCAATGCTTTGCTTCCGCTGTGTTCGCGGCCAGAACTGGTGAAGCCGCACCCGACTTGGGCAGACACTCCTGCGGCCATCACCAGATCATGCGAAGTCAATGCGAAGCATGCCATGGACTACGAAAGGCTGCATTAAGCACTGGCCTTCGGATCAGACACCCAGTCCGTCATGATGAAGCTGCCCTCAGATGCCATCTCCTCAAGCCAAGTGGATCAAAATCGTGGCTTCCCTAAGAACAGGGGCCCCAAACTGGTACCCTTGATATTGGGAAACCCCCAAATTTAGCGACTCACATTGACTGCCTCGCCATTCCAGCAAGTCCTGGCCTGGTTCCCCACAATGCTCGGTGGGCTGGGGCTCTCATCCGTCACCTGACTTATTCTCAACATTTTGAGCCCTTTTGGTTATCGATTGTATTACGGCACCTAATATTTAGGGGTACCAAAATAGGACCCTAATTTTTGAGAACTGCCCCACCTAGTGTTGGCCATAGATAGCCAGGAACTCAGTGGGACTTAGATCATCTGGGCATCAGGCAGATGCAACTGGCGTCAATGCTGTGGAAGATAGACCTTATCTTGGGGGGAATAGTAGTAGTATTCAGCATCATAATAACCATACCAATTAACTACATAATATTCATAACAATAATAACAATTGTAATAATAATTGGAATGTCTTTGTGGGGAGGAAGCAGGCAGCTGCATGCTAAGGTTGCTAAGGCCTGAACGCACGTAAGGATGCTGCATGAAAGCCTCCCAAGCAATCCCTCTCAATCTGGACCTACACGTACAGAACCCCAAAAGGCCAGCTCCGAAACAAGAACTTGTGGGAAGACCTGTCACCCAATATGCCTGCCTCCTAGACTGAGCTCCCCTCAAAAGGCTTCCAGGGCCTGGCTCGAAAGCCTCTGTCCTGGACTTACCAGCAGCGCCCCAAGAAATTCTTGGCCTGCAAGAGTTTGCACACTGTGCTCTCTCAAAGATGGAATGTGCCAGAGTTGGGGTTTGTAGTTTCCTTACAGCTGCAGCAAAAGCAAAAGTGTAAACAGGAAGCCCCTTCTGAACAATGAATGGGACAGAACCTGACTCTTGCGCATACTCTGGGGGATGGGTGCACCCGTTGCCCTTCTCCTGTGACCCACGAAGGCGTTGAGACTTGGGCACAAAGCAAATGCTGTGTTCTATCCACTCTGTCTGCTTGTGCAAGGAGTCAGGGTTGCCATCTGATCTGAGCATCTGCAGCTGCAATCTGCCACCTTCATTGGAGAGCTGCACGCCCTCAAAGGAGATCTCTGGGCTTTTCTCGATGTTGGCCTGAAATTACCCCAGCGAAAATTGGCAGGGGTCTGGGCAAAGCCTGCCAGAATCCATCCGGCCATTAGAGCACCCTGAGTCTGTGACCAGCAGCTGCATAGGGTTTGCCCCAGAGAAGGGTGTCCTGATGCAACCATCTGCCAGTCCGATTCGGCACATCACAGGTGCGGCTGGTGCAGCTCCAAGGCCCTGCCTTCCCATAAGTAGCTCGAACAATATGGCACCAACCTGTGCACAACAAGCAACTTTCGGCTTATGTAGGGTTATATAGCGATTATAAGGTATTCTTTGGGTTTATATTGGGTTTATATATGGATAGTGGAAGAGAAAATGGAAACTTATAGTATAATAGTGCACATATTGAAGTCTGAGCATCTTGCTGACCACAAGTCGGCTTTTGCATCGTAGGGCTCATGGCCTTTGCGATTGCCAGCAAGCTATGCTGAGGGGTCAGAAAGAGGCGTGTTCTCTAAGAAGCAGCGAGGCATTTGAGGCACAACCATGCGCAAACCCTTTCTCTCGCCTTCATAAAAAAAAAACTCCTAAGCCCCACATAGAAGCAGCGTGTACTTCATATGGCTAGCTCACAAGAGGGCGCCATAAGTATCTAGTCTAGTATTGGAAAGAGGTCAGCTTCGCTCCATGTCTCTCACGTAGGAAGATCCTGTGCAGACTCGTGAAAATCACCTTCCTGAAGCAAGCTCCTCAAATCCTTGGTAGTTTTCTAAAGTAGGGGACCCCAATATAGACCCAAATATAATATAGTCCTTATTATTGTGACCCCCGAAATGGTACCCCCAATTTTGGGAAACCCCCCGTTGTCAGAGTGAGCGGGATGTTTTCAATATGATCAGGAAGCAGAGCGCAGCACAGCTTTTCAACAAGCATCTCATGCAAGACTCTGCGGAAAGCTTGCGGGGCCCCCGCGCAGAATCTCAGGAGCCATGTATAAAGGCGAGCCGCAGACGGTGGCTGCCTCGGAATCCCAGATTTTAGCGGATGATTGCAAGATGCCGCAAGCACACCCTTCTTGACTTCCCTGACAAGCATCAATCCTCCAGATGACTTTTGAGGGAACACAGCTGCTGCATTTAGGCTGTATGTATCCTACCGGCATTCTGTACTGATAATGCTTCCGATCCCGGGGCAGCTGCCATGTCTTGCGGAGGAAGAGCACGTGCAAATCCGAAATCTGCAATCTTGAGAACTGGGTCCATGGAACCTTTCCGACGGCATTGCTAGACATTACAAACATGTTCCAATGTCGCCTGCATTTTCTTAGCATAGAGCTGTCGCTGAGAAGGATGTTTTGCGGTTTCAAATCGCGATGGAGGACATTCACCTGGTGCAGAACCTGAGCTATGCTGGGCATCAAATCTTTCAAGGCTGACCATCTGGGATGCCAGCATGCAGATTCGGCTGAGCCTCCTACCGAGAGTCCTTCTGCTATCTGTGTCAGAAATCTCCGCGCGGTCTGCAACAGACAGTGAACTGAGCTCTATCTAAGCTAGTCACGTCGCGTGGTTTGAACCAACCGTCTAGCCTCTTCTTGCACCCGGCCCTTCCTGCCAAAGCCAGAAGAATAGATTCGTACCATGGTAATTCCAATTGAGTCATCTGTACTGCTGTGCAACAGTCTCAGTGCAGAGCTCTCGCAGAAAAATTGACAAGTCCCCTCCAGCACAATACCTGGAAGCATCGAGTAGCAGCCCAGCGACTAAAAAGACACGACTGCGCCCTCAACCATTTTGACTAGTGGGAATGACAGCGCAACCAAGGGCTCACTCCAGCACAAGATAGAAGTGCGCCGCGCTCTTCTTCAAGTCTCGGAAACGAACCTGAGATACATGCAGGCTTACAAACCTTCCGTCCTTCCCACCGGATAGAGAAGTTCGGCAATGAGGATTTGAAGATAACTGCAGTCTGGCAGCGATGTTAGGGTGCGATATCTTCCTCAGGACCTGAATTATGCATCGATGAAGGAGGAGTTCCTTGCCATAAGTCGCCAGCAGGCCTCAACCTCCTGCCGAAGCTGCGCGGTCTCGGTCACAGTCTGGCGGCTGATGACCTCAGCGTGGAATTGGCATCCAAAGAGCTTCTCCGATAGCACCGGCTGCCAAGCCTTGACAGCAACGTGCTCATTTCCTGAGCTGGTACACTGGATGGAGAGCAAGAGCGCCAGAGGGAGATATAGCGCATCACTTGAAAATCTCACGTGGATCCTGCTACATGCGGCGAGTTGCTATCGTCACGGCCCTTCCAGACGGTGGCATAGGAGCCTTTCCCGATGCGCCTTGTAGCGTTAGATTGGGTCTTCCAATTTTACTAAGACGATGTTCCAGACCGGCCTCTCAAGACTGTACCCGGCAACTTGCTTCTTGGTCATGGCGCAGGACTCCCGTGGCTGCCTGCAAGCTGGAGATGGGAGTGGCCACTCACAACGTGCATTTCCTGCGCGCCTTTGAAATTAAGCCTCCAAGGAAGACCATGTGGGCAGCGGCTGTTCAATACCAAGCAAAACAGTCCTAGCTTGCTAATGCGATGAATATGCTTAGACTTTCTTTGCGTGATGGTGCAGTCTGCTGCTCTTCCATGCATGGGCGGTTTTCGCCCACTCCTACGCCACCTCGAAAAGCCAAACCGTATGAAGGCTTCGTGTGAGCTCTCCACTTTCCAACGTTGCATCGAGAGCAATCCGGTCCAGTGCGGAATCTGCCATAACAGCCAACAACTGTTGGGAGATAAAGAACCGATTCTGAGTTCCTCCCCGCCACTTTGAGCAGGTGGGCTGGGTCTTTTGCCACAGAACTACACCTGAGACGCTTCTCTACCTGTTTCTAGTCTGTCATCCATGGAACTCTCAGAGCTCTTTTTCATGTATTTGGTCAGGCTGTGGAGCGAACCTCAGAGAAGCGGTGCCAGGTGCCGATGGGACTAACCTCCTCCCTGGCAGAAGCAATCGACGAATCTGTAACAGAATGTCGCAAGCAAGTCGCCGATGGTGCGCACCTCATTTGAAGGACGAAGGAGGTCCAGATCTACTGCCAATTTTGCAGTAACAAGCTTAGGCAAGGGCCACTCTCCAGTTTGAACGATAGGCACGGAGCTCTTCCAGCTCATCCAAAAGGTTGAGTATGATCAGGACAGCCGTCAATACGACCTTTGAATGTGCTGAGCTTCTGCAGGCTTTGGTGCAGAAGCTTAAGCTGATTGGTATTTGATATTATTTGATGAGCCAAAGTCCGCTGATCCGTTTCTGCGCGCTGGAAGCTTTCTGGTGCAAATCGCAAGGGGCTTGCACATGCTACTGCTGCAGTTGTTCATACTGCTCCAATTGGCGGGATCCACAGATGCGATGCCCTGGCAACTAGGGCGTGGGCGCAAATGTAGAGCCCCTTTTTGCCGGAGATCTCGCCCGAAAGGCTTACGGACAGCACTGCAAACAGAAGCTGCACGCCAACTTGTACCTGTGGCCAATGGGCTCTGCAAACAGACTGCAAGTTGGATCCTGCTGAGTCTCACACCTTCCACATGACCATCAGCCGTCTCTTGCTGCGCACTGATGGCACGTGCGGCTCATTGTGAAGCAGTCGCATGGCTGTCACTGCTAGAAGCAGAACTCCAAAGCCTCGGGAAAGATTTAGCACTTTGCCGCGTCCACCCACACACCCACCATCTCAGCCAGACAAATGCAACCTAATGCGTTAGCAAGGTCAACACTTCAAAAAATGTATGTCAACCTCATGCGATAGCTGCCGATGAAAGCCAAGCAGCCCTGGCAAAAGTTCTGTCCAGCTTTGTGGTCTGCCGCTTCTGCTGAATCTCCATAATCCTGCGAAGTCCAATGAAATGTGACCCTAAAGTGTGACCCTGAAGCCTTGCCAGACTAAATGTAAACCCGTGATAAGTAATCCCCCACCTTTTGAGGGCCTTAAGATTCGGATCCCGATTGTAATCCCTATCAAGGGGAGGTGGTTCATTAATCAGGGGTCTACTTTATGCAGTCCAGAAGACTCCCTGCACAGAAGATCATCTGGACAGCAATGATCGACGCCGAACTTCTGAGCTCTGGCAGAAGCCCAATCGACTGAACACCCCCAGACCGCTGATGGCACTCGTCTGGTTTTGGGGCTTCAAGTGTCACATTCTTAGACTTAGGCAGATCCCGTCCCTACTCAGGGCCTTAAATTCTTCGTCCAGCACCAGAAAGCAGCCGGCTGCCATCATCATCACCTCGGAGAGGGGCTCGTCCCACATGAAATCGGACCTCCAATAACTGAAAGAAAAGCAATCTGGACGTCCCACGTCCAGCCCTCAACCGTAGACCGCACTCCAACTTAGAAGCGACTGCAACTGGCATGGGGGTCCAGAAATTCACATGGCGTGCCCAGATGAGCAAGAAATACAGTGGGCTTGACACTACAAGACGAATCTAGCACGCAAAGGCCCAAACAGCTTCAACTGGGTTTTGGTGTATGTTAGAAACAGACATGTTCTCAGCCTTTGCACAGGCCCATTTGCTCTTGAACTTGGCGAGTGACTCCAGCCATGGCCACTGGAATCAAGCTCAGGAAGGCTGCTGGGCGAAGCTGAGACGTCTCACAGCGCACAGCATGCCATTTCGTATCCTAAGGTGCTAAGGGCATAGGACTCACAGGTCTAGGAAAAAGCCTGCGACACCGCCTGCATGTGCCTGTATGGCACGATGGGATTTACTCGCCGAGTGTCCGCAATATGAACGTCATAAAGAAGAAGCTTGATGAGCATGACCAGCCTCAGATTCCGCTTCACCAGAGCACGGCATCATGGCTACATAGATTACATTGTCTCGCTTGCCGAGGATGGGGCAAGAGCGAAGACATCAAGGTCCAGAAGCTTTCATGACCCACTTCCACTTGCCCTGCCACAAGAATCGTCTGTCAGCCTTGCTTCACTTGTTGGAGTCGCCCTGGCCTGGTTCAACACCTTTGGTAATGCATTTCACCACCAGCGCCTTGGAAAATCTTCGGCTGAAGCCGAAGCTCCGCAGTCGCCCGCTTTCAGCACCAAGCCCGCCACAAGAGTTGTGATCATGACTGCCTGGGACCGACCTCCAACTGTCCATTGCATAAAAAAGGGCCCACGAAGATGCATGCTGGAGGTTTTCAGATGCTCAGGAAGGAACCAATGTAGTCCTCCGCGTTCCTCTGTCTTGTAATCAAGTCGATAAGCTGATGCTGCGGCAGCCCATACGTCCTTTGAAACCAGCAGGCGCCAACACTGCTTCACAAGACTACTATTTGGGAGCTGCGTCCTTGGGAAGAACAAGAAGCATGCTATCCAGCAGAGTACCTCCCAAAAGCAGTCGGACAAACAGCTGCTTGGGCGTGCCCCCAACTCGCACCTCACACAGAGCTTCGCGGCTTCTGGATGCCCAGAAGTACAGCGCAGCGCTTGCGGCATTCAGCATGAGATGAAAGGTAGCAAATCTGCCTTCCGAGGTCAGCTGTATACGTCTGCAAGGCCGAGCTAAGTTGTGAGAACCATCAGCTGGTCAACCGGGATGCGGCAAGCAGGTAGCCAGAGTCCAACACGAGCGTGCATGAGGCCAATCCTGAGCTAGGCTCCACTCGCCATCAGCAAGGTGTACCGTGCTTCTGCAAGTGGAGGCCAAAAAGTTGTAGCCAGAGAACAAGATGTAGCATGCAGCAAGGCCAGACAAGTGCAATCTTCGGGCATCCGCGTTGGTGGATGCTAGTAAGTCTCCTGCATGGCCACAAATTGACTTGCTCGCTTAAATGTGGATTGCAAAACATGTTTTTAGTAACAGTCATGCCGCAGACCGTGTGACCGTGGGGCATACGCTGCAGGGTCCTGTCCAGTTCACATCCATGAAGAAAATGCTGACAGCCAGCCTGAGCACAGAACTGGGCAGCCAAACGCGCAGCAGAGCAGAGAAAGTCTGTGTCTTTTGATTCCGAAGCAGCTCAGCACGGAATATCCAAGAATGGTGGCGACCGAGTGGCAGAATATAGAACAGGCGATGGTCCGAGCCATCAGCGCTGAAGCGTGTAGACTCAGCTCGCACTTCGCGTGCTCCAACAAAGCTTGTCAACCCTTCGCCCAAAAACTTAGCAAGCCATGGCCACGAAGCATATTCCGCTGACGCGGTGTAGAGGGTCCTTGCTACACGAAAACCCTGGTGGGCACAGATTGCTCGCAGAGCACATTCATTAAATGCCAAGCCAGGTACCAATAAGTGAATAGGCCCAGCACCAGGTGCGATAGTGTCTCCCCTTTGGCGAACTGTATCACCATGGTGGCCTGTGGTGGTTTCGAAGGTGCGGGGACAGTGAAAGCAAAACTTAGATACCAAGCACTCACATGGCAAGTGCGTCGAGGCACGAGAGAGGAACCGTACAGAATCCAGCAGAAGGCTTCCTGTTTGGTGACCTTGGTGCAAATAGAGGAACCCAAAATAGACCCCAAAATGCCATAATCTTCCTTAATATGGTGGCTCCGAACTGGTATCCCTGATTTGGGGAAATCCCCAAATGTTGTAGCACACTAATTCCAGAAAGGCTCTCCTCTTGAATCATCCTTATTCCGCAGCCGGGGCAAATCCCAGCGAACAGATCTCCTCAGTCTTGAGAGTTTGCTGTTGTGGAGCAAGTAGTAGCACTAACAGTATCATAGGGCATACTGGGATAATGGAAAAGAAACTGGAAACTACCATAGAAACTACTTTCCAGGGTTTGGGGTTTTAGGTAAGATTATGGTGTCAGATTGGGAATCAGCTTTGTGTGGGCTAAGTCCGTGAGTTGTACTTCCATGCCTGTTTAGGATCCAAAAATCGGGGGGGCCTCCCAAGGACCGGCAAAACGAAGATGCCTTGTTCCTGAAACGAGACATTTCCTGGTTTTGCGCCCAGGTCACGCTGTCTCTCGCAGGTGGGAGACTTCCAGTGAATAGCTTCCACCTCAGCCGCCATGAAGCAAATGTACATACTTCATTTGACACACCAAATCATGATACGCTGAACAGGCAAGCTCGAAGCCATGCGGCCAGGCAACTTCCTGTGGAGTTTTTGGAAGACCCACGGCTGTCCATGGACGTGCCGGAGGAAGCACTGACAGGGGTATTCCTTGTTGCTATTTACATGAGCCTCTGACCAACGTACAATGAGTGGTCTCTTGAGCCGAAAAGGCACATAGAGAGCCCATGACTCGAATTGCCGCAACGGCCACCGCCATCACCATCCTCCTCCTTTGAAATGGGGATCAGCAAAGAGCAACTTTTTGCCAGCCGTCTCTCCATCGCTGAAGCCGACTGCCGAACTGGAAACTAACAGCTGGCTTCAGTCAGCTGTAGTAGTAAAGGCTCTCCTCCTCAGGAAGGGTCATCAAGAGAGCCCGAAATTGGCAAAGCTCCTACCTCTTGATTCTACCAGAAATGGGGTAGTGAATCCTGATGCCTCTCTGCATCTCTCTGCAGTTCAGGCACGTCGGAGAGCACCGTTAACGGACGAGGGTTGCCAGCCCACGTGTACCATGCTCCATCGAAATCCAACTCCAAGCTGACCTGCAACGACTCCAAAGCACGATGCAAATGCAAAATGTGCCATATGTGATCAACACTTCGAACGGCGCCACCCGCGTTGTGGAACCACTTGCTGATCCTGCCTTTGGAACGCGGCGCCGGAATTGACAGAAGATTCCCAGTCCTGTCCTCAGCTTCGCAAGTACTTTCAAGTCGCAAGTGGCTGGTGGTATGGGCGCGATCGTCACAATCAGCCACATGACGTAGTGTTTACAGCGATTCCTCTCAAGAAACAACGGCCAAACATAGCATGCTGGGTCTAGAGTCTAGAGCACAGTGTACGCAGCGATTTGAGCACACACCTCCCTGCACCGATTTTCTTGTAAGTGGTTACATCCACTGGCTGGCTTGGCATCTGGATGCCGCTCATCTCTCACTTGGATAAAAAGAACAAGTCAAGCTGATCCTTTGCACTCCCTGCGCACCGGCGCCACATGCAGCTCCAGAGGCACACTCGTGTGATGCGAGTGGTACATCCGAATCCAGCCTGTGAGCTCCGGCACCGATTCATCGCCAAACCTGCACCGAGCAGCCTGGCGAGTAGTCCATGCGACCATAGGGAGATCCGAATGTTGAGCGTTAGTCTGTCCAGGGTAAGGTTGAAGTATCTGGCATACCATGTGCAGCACAAGCTACACGGGTGTTTTCAAGCTGCAAGACTGTTCGCATCATCGTCCTCGGCATGCTCCTATGCTGTTGTACAGGGGAACCAGAATTGAAACATATGACCCTTATCAAAGGTTACGCCGTTGGGTTTGACCGCACCCCTATTACTGAAATACCTTGTGTGTTCCTCTGGCAGCTTCATGTAGCACTGGCTGGAAGCACGGTAACTTCCGAACCTTGCCCGCGATATGAGCCCAATATACTATAGTAGTTTCCATTTCTTTTCCTTTATCCTCATATAACCCCAATATCCTATAGTAGTTGCCATTTTTCCATTGTCCCTAAACCCTGAACCCTAATACCCTAAACCCTACGCCGCCCTGCGCCCTAAATTGTAGTTTCCATTTTAACTTTCACTATCCCAAAATAACCCCAATAAATTGCTATTATTACTATTGCCACTATTATTGATACTATTATTACCATTATTCTTGTTATTACTATTATTACTACTATCACTATTATTACCATCAGCACTATTATGTTTGTCCCCAAATACCTGCCCCCCAAAGCCCTTAGTAGTTTCCATTGTATTTTCCGTTGTCCCAATAGACCCCCAATATCCTATAGTAGTAGTTTCCATTTTACCATTATCCCCACACAGCCTCCAAGAGCTCCAGGAGTGCCACACGCTCCGCGTAGGATTCACACGACCACCCGCGTGCGTCCACAGGACGGAGCATGGCCTCAGCATGGGCTGTATGTAGATCCATCATACTATGATGTACCATAATGGACTATTAGGTACAATAGTGTAATGTACTCTACTGTACTATAGTGTACTATAATATACTATACTGTACTATGATGTACTATGATGCACTATGATGTACTATAATGTATTATAATGTGCTTCTAGTGTGTAGATTGGCTTTCGGGAGCTACATAGAGCTTCTTAGGCTCTACGCCGCTACGCCGCTACACCACGTATACTGCACATCACCACATCACTGCAAGGACCGCAGCCCCTAATCACTATAGGGATTATAGGGGTTCTAAAAGGGTTATTTCGGGGTTATTTTGGGATAATGGAAAATAAAATGGAAACTACTATAGTATATAGGGGTTATATGGGGTTTAGAGTTTAGGGTGCACTGACGCTTCAAGTCTCGAACCTTGACCTCATCGTGGACGCCTTCGGCAAAACCACTGCTCACCACGGTTGGCTCCCGCTGCAGCACATCACCACCTTTTGGGGGTTAGCAGATACATTTGTAAGCAGAAAGCCTTCGAAAGGAGCACCAAACAAGGCAAAGCCAAGGCACCGTAGTGTAACTCATATGAGATAACGGCCTCAGTAGGGGAAGCTCACACTACGTGCCCATGGCTTGACAGTTTGGAGCCAGGCAATGATGTTTTCAGTTCCAGGGATTCGCCACTCCTCCAGCTGGCTTCTTGCCAAAGCCCTGGCTTCCGTCACCCACTCGGGGCGTTGGTTTCCATCACAAATTCGAAAGCCTGACAACAACAAAAGCTTACCGATCTGAGTGGACCCTTCCCAGCCCCGCATCCTTGCCTAGCTTGTGCATGGCTTGCCGCGCGTACATGAAGCCTTGGATAACAATGCCGTGCTCCCTTTCATGCTTAGCGGTTCGGAGCTAACCCTCCACCAGCCAGGCAGCCGAAGTTCGTGAGTCCTTAGTTGGCAGGCCCAGCGCAAGGCTTGCACAAGAGCTGCAGTCACCAACATCTGCAGGTCAAAGCTTGATGAGACAATCGTCTAAGCTCCAATTGCCGTCACCTCTTGTGCCAGCTCCTCTACGACTTTCTCATCATCCTCTGTGGCGTCTCCTTCAGGAGTTGCACCTGCAGATACAAGCTACAACGCTCTCTGTTGCTGCAACGGCATCAACTGCCTCTGCGCACTGAGCCCTATGCATTTCTGCAAGGCAAGAAGGACAGGATGGAAGAAACGTTGGCGAAACCCAGCATCCAGTTTCTCGGCGCCTTCGAAAATCCGCTCCAAAGATGCAGCTGTAACTCTTGGGCTTGCGTGAGTGGCTCTGCCTTCGTTCCGCAGCCGGTGGCGAGCCACGATATTCGCAAGCTCTGTGCTGGCCTCGGTCCAAGAAGAGTCCATGGGCCGGAATCTCCAGCAAGGCAGCGCCTGAGGCCTTCGGACGCCTGGCTGAGGATGACGCAGCTGCATCGGAGAAGCCACATATCGACAGGAAACGCGGCACAGCTGCCTGAGAAAGAACTGTCTCACGCGCTTGGCGAGCTCGACTGTGCAGAAGTTGTGGACAGCCTCAAGAAATGAGTGCAAGCGGTCGTCGTCACCCGTAACATCGAAGGAGAAGGCCAGGTTGGCCAGCTCCTCTTTGTGGATCAGACGTTATGAGACACTTCGCTGACGTTCCCGCACCACGCATTTGCGCGGTCCTGCGGACCGAACTCGTCAAGCTCTATCTTCTCGAGGGCAGCTGCCAGCAGTGCGTCCGAGAGTCTGCTGCCTGTTTGCTACATAGGGATAATGGAAAATGGAAACTACTATAAGATCTTGGGGCTATATGGGGATAATGGAAAAGAAAATAGAAACTACAAGGGATTATATTGGGGCTATATAGGGATTATGGAAGAGAAAATGGGATTACGCGGGCAAAACAGAGCTTCAATGAGCTCACAGCAGCTCTGAGCTGCCCTGCCTAGCATCTCCCAATAATAGTAAGAGTAATTATAGTAATATTAGTAATAGTAGTAATAATACTAATAGAGTAATAACAGTAATAGTAGTAATAGTATGAACAATATTACTACTACTATTATTACTGTTAGTATGCCTATTATTAGTATTACTCTTACTACTATTAGTCCTATCAGCGCCCTGGGGTCCAGGCTCCGAAAGCCCAGCACTGCATAGGACCAGGCCACATTGGCCAAGCCCTGACACACAAACGAGGGTGCATCTCAGAGGGTGCTTTCCGGGCGGAACGCCGACATGAGCCGTCATGAAAGATCATCCCAACAACATCACTCTGTAGTCAGCTTTGCCATCTTCCAACAGCAGCCTGAGATTCGGGAGCAGCAAAGTCAAGAACAGTGCCATGCCTGCGCATCGAAGTCTTGGACCTGCGCATGATGCAAATGGCGGCACAACATATCGAGGGCAGCACATCCAGGACCTTCCGCACGATCGCATGAGAAAGCCTTCCATGCATTGCTTCGATGACTACGGCCTTTTCACCGTGGTGGTGCGGGAAACTCAGGATGGGGCGTCTGCATGAGCCGCTCATTCCAGAGTCCGAGCCTAGTCTTGTTCAGACTTCTCAAAACAATCCCTTACAGTCTACGGTACTTCCACTCCAGCATACTTGGACTACTGGGAGCTCTGCTTTGCATATGCCCAGGCCGTGTTTGCCAGATTCTGGGTTGTGAAATCGCTCACCTTCGTGATGACCTGGCAGTCTTCCGGGCGCCCGCCAAACTAGGAACATCGAGCGAGCTTTGCAACCTCCAGCAAGATCTGGTCCATCAGGTCACCTGTAACTATTGCTTTGCTGCATGCTTCTGTATACGAATGGGCGAAGATACAGGATGTGGGGTTGCTGCTGCAGCTGCTCCTTGTTCCTGGTGTTCTTGCTCATGGGTTTATTAAGGTCCTTGCTCGCTGAAAATTGGCAGCCAGTTTCCAGTTCATCTTCCACCTTCTTTTCCGTTTGATTTCTCATTTTCGGGCAACATCCCAAAAAACTCCCGATGTAATCCCAATATATACCCTAGCATTAGTTTCCCAAAATAGGTGACGCCCATATGGACCCTAATATGCTATGATTCTTTTTATAGGGACTCCCAAAAAAGGTACCCCGAATGTTAGGAAACTCCCAGAATTCCCTGTAGAAAAAGGACCCTACACCCTAAACCTTAAAGCTTAAACCCTAATTCCCTGTAGTAAAAGGACGCACATTGATAAGACTTTACTCGTCTGGCTCAAGCTGAAAAAGCAGCTGAGAAGCTATCCGGCAGGCCGAGCGTGGCAAAAGCCCAGGCCTGGAGTATTCCCTCAAGAAGAGTTCAGGGGTTTAGCGTGTAGGGGTTTGCAGATTAGGGAGTTTTGCCACTTGCCTGGCCATAGGCGTTTGCTACTTGCATGGCCAGGCGTTTAGGGTTTAGGGGTGTCAGGATGCAGGGGTTTACGGTATAAGAATACAACATATGGGAGTTCAATTTCTACATGATACATTCTGTTATTCCCTACTAAGAAGGGCTTTAAAAAAAATTGAACAGAAAGGAAACACACGGAAACAACCCCTCAGGGTTTAGGGTTCAAGGAATGGAAAATAAGATGGAACCTGCGATCATGGAGAACCAACCATCACCTTGGAGCCGCAGAATCAAATGGAAAACTAAATGGGTAGTGTTTTTTTGGTGGTTGAACCTAGTAAGATTACATCCCTTATATGAAATACTATACCCAAAAGGAGGATATAATCTTACTCTATAATAGTGGGTACCATAATACCCCCTAATGAAATACTACTCAAATGGAACATGAATGGAGACTGGGACTGTAAACTGAATCACGTAGGCGACCTAAAATTTCGGTGCCTACACCACTTCGGCATGTAGCACGGTGACGGCTGTGTGGATTTTCTGCTCAGGCTGCAACGGTGTTTGCCAAGTCCTGCGGGATCAGCTCCTGATGTCATAATCGTGGGGAGCTGATTCGCGGAATGCATTTGCAAGGACACCTACGACCAGGAAACGATGATTGCAAGGTAGCAAGTGCCTGCCACTGAGTCAAATGAGGTTTGCTTGCAGCAGCACTGGCTTGGGGACAGGGGGAGGGAGGTGCTCTCTCACACAAGGCAATCAACAATCTTCTAGGAACCCTGTGCGCTATTTGCCCGTGTCAAGCATGCGAAATGTCATTGGCCTTTTCATCTTCAACCAAGCCTCTGAAACAAATGCGCTCGAATGCGGCCCTAAACCTGGGCCGTAGCCTGGCGTTGTGTAGCCTAGTATGGACTGGATGGAGGACAAGCATGCAGGTGTAAAAGTCTGGATGAAAACAGTTCCAAGGCAATCCAAATGTTCCCGAATTGTTCCCAATCATCCAACGCAATGCCACACAAGCCCTGCGAATGTTTCAACACATATGGCCAGCAAAGCCTTCGCTCGTGAGTAAGCCTTCATTCCGAGCCCCATTGGTCGCAACAGAAACTCCAATCCTCTCAGGAAGCCGATGCACAAGATTGGCCCTATCTTTCAGGCCGCCCTCTGTGATTGCTACGCGCAAGCTTAGGGCCTGCTGGACAACAAGCAAGCCGCGAAGAGATCCTTGACCATGGTGACCAGCTTCTTGCCAATGGCTGCCATCATCATAGCCTAAATCAGTACTGTAACTAGATAGAGGCCACTGGGCTTCAACTACAAACCAGAACAGCATCCGGGACCGATGCATTCGAGACAGCCACCTTTGCGAAGGCCTTGCTTGTGATCACACTCGTTGCTCTGCAAGCAATCCAACCCCGTGTCAAAGGCTCCGCAGAACACAGCAGTTGCTCTTGTCAACCCACACAATTTGACTGAGGACCTTTCCCAAGACGTGTTTGACAGGTCCTGGTTTCCAAAGCTCTGAATCTTGGCCATAACCTGTCACGCTGCTGCTGGATGTGAACAACTTGCGCCAGCTGTTCAACTTGAACTCACTGTCACTCACTCCTGTCCTAAAAATCCGGAAGTTCTTGGCCCCAAGATTTGCTTAGCATGACCTCACAAGCAACCTTTAGCAAAACATCTTCGGCAAGTTTACTTACCAACAAACCATTCGGCCAGCGATCACGTTGATTTTCCATTGCGCACTGCAGCGTCCAGACTTTGCACGACGTGGCAGACTGCCATCCACTGCAGCAGGCGATGCACTGCACCTTTCAGATTCCACATCAACCACATCGGACCAGCTGATAGAAAAATACAAACCCGAATGCAGTCGGGAACATGGAGACTGGACACGAAGACGCGACATGAGGACTCGCATCGCAAAGAGATGACAAGAAGACAAGATACGACGCAGGATGCAACACTGAGACATAAGACACCAGACAAGGATAGCAATGCTGACAGGCGACGGTAAACCCAGCATCGCGAAGCGTGAGAAGACCAAGGCAACAATTCAAAGAAAGACCCGTGTAATAGGACTTACGAAGCAAATCCAACGAGGCAGCTCCCAGGCATCGAAACCCACCGTCCGCCACGCCTGTGAAGAACATGACCGGCTGAATGGCAAATACCTCGAGCCCTCACAGCCCGCAACCTGCACAGTTACACGGCTAGATGGCCACTGCCTCAACTCTGTGCCAGTCGGAGTGCTTGTGCTGCGGCCTCAGCAGGGAGGTGACGTTGTCAGCTTCTATCTTGCTGTGCAACACATGCCGCGAGTCGTCGCAGCATCAATGCTGCTTATTCGGATTTTGAATAACTACTCGACCGCTGTAACGCGACGAAAGCTTGGGATGGTTGGGCAAATGAATGGTTGCATGACGAGCGAACCGACTGGCACGTAGACTTGCGACAACAAGCAGCTGCAGCATGCTTTCCATTCCGAGAGCTTTTGCTGCGGCGGCATGCAGCTTAAACCCTAAATAAAAACCTGGCAAGTCGGCTGCGTAGTCGTCTGATGATTTATGGGTTGAAGGCCGACCGTCTACCACTACCCAGTGAGTACCGACACTACGCCGCGCCATACCTTCCTACCCGTTGCAGTCCTGAATCTGTAGAACTTGTCTTCAGAGGTTGCACGCTCAGGCCACCGCCTCTGTCTCAGACAGGCCTTCTGAAACAAGCTTCTGGAAAGCTGCCAGGAACTGTTGCTTGGCATCGTCCTCGCACACCATAAACAGTGAATCCTTCTAGCAGTGCACCTCAATGAAAACGGCTGCGCTGCAAGGGTTTCAATGCACGGCCTTGGCGGGCTGGGTCGGCCGTGTGGGACGGTCGTATACCGGCGTTTTCTCTGCCTTCCAGACTTTGAATGCATGCTTGACGTACAGCAGTAGATTTTGTGAGCATGGCTGCAAATCAGTGAAGTCTAGTCTAGAATCGAGCTCTTTGTCTGCCAGAGGCCTTCTCTTCGTTGTTGGCCAGCTTTATGCTCGTGCCATTTTTTGCCTCTTCCACGCTGCCGTCTTCAAGTTAAAAATATGTATGCCCTCACTGTGAATTGGATCATGGCCACAACTTATCAGAAGCAGTTCGTCATGTGGCAGGCCGTGTCATGCCCTGGTTCTAAAACGCCCATACCCAGAGCAGCAACACTCGAGCAACAAGCCTCTGACTCTCGATGAGGTTTGCCCGGTTTCTCCTTTCCCTCCAAAGCCTGATGCATGAGAGACTCTGCAACCATGACTCAGCTAAAGTTCAATACTTGCTGCAAGCCTCCTTGCCGTCTGCCTGCTTTTTGGGCTTCTTTGTTTTCGTCTCAGCTGCCTTTGTCGACGCGACGTATCTCTTCGCTCCCTCTACATCTTTTCTTGAAGTGGACATGTGCCATATTCCCAATACCACGCATTGCAGCGGTACCAATGGCCATCCTCTTCGTAAAATTGAACAAGTCAAGTTTCCATTTTCTTTTCCATTATTCCAATATAACCCCATTATACTATAGTAGTCAAAATAACCCTTATTGGATAGATCTGCCTTGGGAGCTCTGGGCTTGGAGACGGTGCTTTCGGCCTTGAGAGCTAGAGCTCCCCAGAGGTCGTCCTCGGAGAGATCCTGGGTTGGATGGAAACTACTTTTTTGTATAATGGGGTTATATTGGAGTAATGGAAAAGAAAATGGAAACTACTATATAGCATATAAGGGTTATTTTGACTACTATAGTATAATGGGGTCATATTGGAATAGAAAAGAAAACGGAAACTACTATATAGTATGTTGGGGATATATTGGGATAATGGTGAAGCGCCTCGAAAACGACCCCCACCGGCACCCGCTCACCCCCAGGAGGCGGTGCGGCAGCCAGGTCAGTCAGGGGCTTCCTTGGAGCCATTCAGCCATCAACTCTTGCAACATAGGAAGATGATGCTCGGCTCTCTTGAGCTTAGTAAACCTGACCCTTTCTCCTTATATCTCCTTATACTATACTGCTAGCAAGGTGCTGCTGGCTCTCGGAGTAGGATGGAGTCGAAGACCCCCGGTCCTCTTGAAGTGGACGTGTAGCAGAACAGAGCGGAACGACACTTCTCCGAAAGAATGTGGAGGATGACAAGCTTTGTAGGAACTGAGCCATAATGTGAAGCCCATCAAAGAAACCGATGTGGGCCTCGGCCGATTCAATTATTCAACGCAGAATGTAAGAAGATCCATCCCTAACAAGCTACCACGAACATGTGGAATGCTGCAAAAAAAAGGAAGCTCAAAAGTAAGAAGGCTTCGCACCGAGGAGAAAAGAGTTGTGCAAGCGCTTGTTGCTTCACATCTGAACACCTCGGGGTCCTCAGCAACTGCGGCATACTCGGCGCGGGCAATCTCACGAAGCCGTAGTAAATACTCGCTCCGATGCATTTCCTTACCACATTATGGGATCCTAGGGTACTATACTAGGGAGCCTTGGGGAACCTTAAGGAAGCTTAGGGAGTATTGGGGAATAATGGGGACTACTAGGTTACCTACCCCTTGGACCACCCCCCTTTAGGACATCCTAACCATAGGTCGCTCTCTGCAGCGTGGCTGTGGGCTCATGATATTGGGATGATGGAAAAGAAAATGGAAACTACTATAGTCTGTTGGTGTTGCTATAGTGTGTTGGTGTTATATGGAGATAATGGAAAAGAAAATGGAAAGCCCCAGTAACGGAGAATCAAATGGAAAATCAAATGGAAAATGGCATAACTGTGGGTGTATATAGGGTCGGAAGCTTGGGAGGAGGATTCTTGTACAGAACGGTCACTCCTGATCACGAGCCATGCTTGAAATGTAGCCCTAAGGTGAACGATTATCCCACAAAAAGCCCTTACAACTATTGTAGTGTCCATTTTCTTCTCCATTATCCCAATATTACCCCAATATGCTATAACAGTAGTTATTTTTTTGCCCGGCTGCAAGTGCTACCTGCGGCTTGTACTGCATCATCGGGGAGTGGTCTGCGCCACCCAAATCCCAAAGCTCGAAACCTGCGCGTCGCAGGCACTCCTGGGATGGCTAGCCATCAGTCATGGGGTTTAGGGTTTAGGGTTTAGGGTTTAAGGTTTAGGGTTTATTGAGATAATGGAGAAGAAAATGGAAGCTACTACAGTATATTGGGTTAATATGGGGATAATGGAGAAGAAAATGAAAACTATAATTTTTTGCATATTAGGGATAGTTGGGGATAATAGAAAAGGAAATGGAAACTACCATAGTATATTGCGGTTATATGGGGATAATGGAAGAGAAAATTGAAACTTCTATAGTATATCATAGTATATTGTTGGGGTTATTTGGGGATAATGGAAGAGAAGCCGGAAACTACCAAATGCAAGGTTCGAAGCTCCTTCAAAAGTCACAGCTCTCAGACTCTCGCGTGCAGGCAAGAGGCCGCCTCTGCATAGGCCAAGAGGAAGCCCGGCTGCAGGGTGCGATGCTTGCCTAGCAACAGATTGCAGCTACTACGACCCTAATATACTATAGTAGTCTCCATTTTCTTTACCATCATCCTCATATAACACCAATATACTATAGTAGTTTCCATGGTCTGAAACTTGTATGAACTGAAGCTGCTGCAGCTGCTTGAAGACCTTTCTGTTGCCGTAGAGTGACGGTCGAAGAAGCGCGTGGCCACGTAGTAGGCCCGGCCGAACGTATGCGCATGGCCAAAGTCCGCTGCCACCAACTGAGGCTCCTGGCCATCCTGCAGAATCAACTTTATGCGGTTTAGGGTTTAGGGTTTAGGGTTTGATCTTAATATAAAATACCCAAAGCCATATTCTATCTACTTTAGGGGGATTATATATATATATGGATTATAGGTATATATTGGGGTTATATGAGGATAATGGAAAAGAACATGGAAACTACCATAGCATATTGGGGTTATATTGGGATAATGGAAAAGAAAATGGAAACTGCTGTAGCATATTGGGGTCATATTTGGATGATGCAAAATATGGGTCTGTCAGCCCTTGCCGCATTATCAGCAGCTACCTGCCTCGTGTAGCCACAGCTCAAAGGCGAAGACGCGCTTCATTTGCCTCTGCGGCACATCTTCTATGCGTTCTGTTGTTTGGTGACTGCATTGTGCTGTTAAAGTTCAGACAGCCACAAACGCTGTAGGTGTGCACAGTGCCGAACCGTCCAACATGCAACAGCAAAGCAAGCAGTGAGCCGAGCTGCTGCATGAGATCCCAAACAGACTCCAGCGCTTGGCTGACCCAGCTGTCCTGCACACACACTAAGAGTGCGAGCCTTGTAATGTGAGCTAGGCTGCAGTTCTTTGGAACCGCAAAAGCGGTAAGCTCGTCCTCGTGATGCTCGCGAAGTGCGTTCAGCGCCTGCCCACCAGCTTCCACAACGCTCAAGCAGCCAAAAGATTCACAAAGAAACCCGAGGCAATGCGGGCCTTGGTGAAGTTCACGTTTACACAAAGCTTCAATCGCTGGCCCTTCTTCCGCGCAGCACGGAGAACCCTGCAAACCTCAATACCCCACACACCATGGCCGCATGGCTGTATGACATTGTCACACTGCAGCGCCCACGGAATGCAAATGCTGCCCGGTAGCATCCTTCAATCGATCGCGCCGCTTCTTTTCTCGCAAGAAATCCTCCGTCTGTGCAGAAAATTGTGCACGTGCCCCTTCCTTGTCCAGTAGAAGTGCCCATGACACATGACCTGACCTCTAGGGATCTCTAGGGTATCAGGGCTCTTGGGCGAGATTCTGTACATAGAGTCGTGAAAACAGCACATATCCCTGCCTGCTGCGCATGAAGCGGCAAGGATGCACGCACCCGATCCAGCAAAGCCACCAGCTTCGAAGATTCGGAGCCATCGCCTGATCAGTCTGACAGATTCGCGAGCAAGTCCCCCTACGCCCTACACCATACCCCAAACTAATGCTGGTGCCTTGCGAGGAGACATAGCCCAAGCCCAGGCTCAAGGTGCTGTGAAGCGCGGCAAGAACGCTTTGGACACCAGGCTCTCTGGCATGTATTTCGCAGGGCATCATTGGACTGCCGACACCTGGCCAAACATGCCACCCATAGCGGACAGTGCTCCAGACCACACCAGCAAAAACCAGCAAAAATCCACCAAAATGTTGATTCGAGCTGCAAATCTGCTCGTCCACTAGACTTTCAGTCCAGCGGGTGACTTTTGACTCAGCCAGCGAAAAGCTAGCCTCGCAGGTCGCAGTAGGTCGCAGGTCAAACGGGAAAATCTGGTCTACTGCCGTGGATCCGCTTTTAGACCTGTTGGACTGGGAGGATGATTGATGTTCGCAGCCATTTGCGGCGGTTTGCATTTGTAATCAGTTCCAGTATCCCGGGCAGCAACACGAAACTACTCTCACCTGAGCCTGAGCTGCGCCAACGCCAGGCCTGCGGCGGCAGCGTGGTCATAGCCTCGGTCGTCTCCGGGCGGCCGAGGCCGCTGGTGCCATTGAAGGACTCGGCCATGGAGGCCTCGGGAGCTTTTTGTTGCGCCATCGGGATTCTGAATTCCAACTGTAAGATCCCGGGTGCCATCATGTCCGCAACGTAACCACCACCACCTCCTGACACAGCTTTCACTATCTCGCCGGTGATCCCAATGCATCACGATCACAGCTCCTCTCATCTGCTGGAAGGGCAGAGGGTGCATAGATGCACCCTCCAGCATTGCAGAAATCTCCGAGCGAAGACCGCCGCTCCATCGCTTGATGAAGTCCTGCCAGCACGACCCGCACCATCTGGGCGTTACAACTAGCAGAGAGATGCAAAGAGCACACCTGGCGTAAACTACTCACCCGTCCTGACCCTTGCCGCAGCTATACAAATCAGCCACATGGGCGTCAGCAGCAAGGACCAGGCGCCGCAAAGCTTGCTGAACCTCCTCTCGCTTTGCGGTTGAAGCAGCCTGGCACAGCTTTGCTTGACTATCCATACTGGCCTGGCTCGGTTCAGATTTCCGAAGTCTATCAGCAAACCTGCTTGTTGCAGTTTTGATGGGCTGATGGTTGGTTGCCTGGCTGGGAAGGCGAAGGAAAGCTGATGACCCGATTGATGCATCTAATGCGAACTCATGAGTTTACGAGCCACGATTTGAATGACGGATTGCGAATTGTCAAGGACCAGGTTTAGGTCGAAATGACTTGGCTGGATGGGCGCACGAAGGCAGACATCTCGCAAAGCAGTGTCCAAACCATTGCAATGAGCAGTTGCAGCTGCAGGACGCAAAGCCGTGCCATGTCTTAAGTAGTTGTGTAACTGTTTCCTTTGAGGTCTTGGTCCAGCGCTACCTCGGACTGACTACACGTCCTTCCCGTTGGTTCACCGTCATGTGGTTTACCCGAAATGCGAGCTTTGTACATAGCTTCATTAGCTTCTCATTCAGGGAACCGCAGCCTCCAAACGCGCCCGCTCAAACGCCTTGATGCTGTCGTAGAAGGCACTACCATGCAAATCCTGCAGGCAAGGCGGCCGCATCTTCCAATGGTTGAGGCATTCATAGGCCTACTCTCCTGGAGAAATTTGAAGTTTCCAGAATAGGGGACTCCGCAACAACATAGACCCAGCGTACTACCATCATGCATTGTCCTTATTACGGGGACCCCCCAAAAAAAGTACCGTGTATTTCGGGAAACCCCCCCAATTCATCATAGAAAGCAGCAGTCAGATGCGGCCTGTCCCTGCGCCTGGCCGGCCAGCGGAGCGAACATGTCCATCAAGCTCTGCGCCAGAATGAAGGCTCTGATGCAGGCCACTGCACGACCAAGGGCCAGAGGGTCCTGGGGAGCATCTGCCTTCTTTATCAGTCCGGTGGACAAACATGGACAAAGAGGTGGATGAGCCTTCTCTTTTTGTTTGGCAGAAGTACATCGTTGAATTCAACCTGTACACATCGTCTCAAATAAGCCTCTGTGCTGGCTTCGTCAGCCAAAGGCGGCTAATGTGGGGCCGGCACTTCGCACTTTGGCACACAAGGCCGGAGTTTCATGTCTCGTGTTCACCCCGGTCCGCTCTCCACTCACATTTTTGGAGGCGTCATGGACACCGAGACAAAAAAGCTAAATCATTTGAGAAACGCTGGAGTTGGTCAGCCAGAAATGCTGCTGCAAGTTGCAAGACGGCAGCTGTGCTTGGCACATTCTGCACGGCTAACAGACAATAAGGGGAGCAACTTCTGCGAATCACCGTGGGCAGAGCTGGAGCTCCTGGCCACACGCTGGACACGAACCATGCGAAGCGGATCGAACTTGAAAGACTCCATCCCTGCACGGGAGCCAGGTCTGCTGAGGGTTCTGGGCTGGGCATGCCTTGCACCCCAAGAGAAGCCCGGGGCACCGCGGCTTGTGCCACGGCTCGGATCTGGAGTGACTTCGATAGTTGGCGATGGCCAGCCCCACCGTTCCATGGGCTGTGATCTCGCTCCAGCAGTGGCTGCTCTCACTGGGACCTGTGCAACCATCTTTGGTACAAGCCCTGCGCTCGGACCTCCTAAAAGAATGCCGGTGCATGTGGCTGGACGAACTTGATCTGGATGACTTGACATCCACTTTGCTCTTTGGTCATACCTCTCCCTAGCCTTCGGGTCCGAAAGCGTGTCATATGCCTCGCGCAGGGCTGCAAAGGTCTCAGCTGCCATCAGCTGCTCAGCTTCGTCTGATGTCACCACCTTGTCCGGGTGGACCTTCAGTGAGGCCCGGCGGAAAGCACGCACTATTTCTTTTGCAGTTGCATTCCTTGGCAGACCCAACAGTTCGTAGTAATCATCGCGCATCTATGGCACAGCTACGGCTGAGGTGGTCAGACCGCGCCATGCAATTTCAGCTCTGGACACTAGTCCTGTCTGCACCTATTGCTTGATCCGAACAACAATGCATGGTCGAAGAGTGAACGTTGATGGTCTCAGTGACGCTCGCTCTGACGAACGTACTTGCTGGTCGGGCATGCGATTATCAATTTGAAGCGGGGCAGCTGCAAACTTAACAAATACCAGGCGGACTTCTCAGAGCCCTAAGTCCTGCAGCTCCAAAGCTTTGGACAAGTGCTTCTCCATGCGCTTCTTCGGTGAAGAGAGGCTGGCCATCAAGGACTGAGCCATGAAGCCACCTGAATTCTAAAGGTCCAGGACCAAGGGCCTTTAGTGACTTTAGTCCCTCTCAGATCAGTGCTTACAAGCCCAGACCCCATGAAGGATCCAAAAAAATGGAACCTCCCTAATAATCCCCTGGTTTCCCCAATGTAGTAATGGGTTCAGATTGGGGGGTCCATGCTTTGGATCCTTTAGGGGGTCTGGGAAGAGATCCAGCTTCATCCTTGCCCCAGGAACCGGAGCCGCTCGCGACAGCTTCAAAGCGCTCGTCCAAGGCTACCAGGAGATTCCTGGGTTGCTGTTAAGGCACCTTGATTAAGTTCCTATAATGAGGCAACCCCATCTTTTAATATATAGTTGTTTCCACTTTATTTTCCATGACCCCAAATAACCCCCAATATACTCTAGTAGTTTCCATGTTTCCATTATCTCAATATATACCCCTATGAGTGGCAACTCTAACTTATGTTTCTCAACAGCAACCCAGAGTCAGGACTGAGTCCTCGAGGTCAGAAGTCCACGTCCCATCCCAGGCCCAGTCGTACCTGATACACGGAAATATTTGGTAGTTTCACAAAATGGGGGGACCCCAATATAGACCCCAATCTACTATAGTCCTTATTATAGGGACCCCAATAAGGTACCCCTAATTTTGCGAAACCCCATTTAGGTTCTGGTGCTAGCAAATGCTGTGCGTCTCTATGTGCCCTGAGTATAGCATCCGGGCCGCGCATCATTGAACAGATCAAGGGCTTCACCATACTCACCCAAGGGGGAGCCTTAGGGTAAATCATTGCAAATGAGACACCAAGAGTTGCAACGCCAGATCAAGTCTGTACTGCCACATTTCTTGAAGCACGACACTGTCGGGACCAAGTGGTAGTTTCCTAAAAATAAGGGGACCCTAATATAGAGCCCAATATACTATAATCCTTATTATGGGGAACCCCAATAAGGTACCCCTAATTTTGGGAAACTCCCAAGTCTGTCAAGGTTCTCACCATGAACCAGCAGCGGTCGACTTCGCCATCCCCGCTGCAAAGCCGCAGTTCGTGCATCCCAAATTCTTCCAGCAGGAAGCTGGTCCTGGGCTATTGACGGATGTGTAGGGCTGCGATAGGCTAAGAGGCTTTATGCATCCGATTCAAACGGACCTACTGTTGATACCAAACATCCTGCATGACCTTAGTAGGCTCAACTTCTTTTTTTCTATGGAATATGGTACTTAGGGTCATGCAAGATCTTTTTGGTATCCACCGTATGTGAACTCCATGCGTCATTTCGTTCCCTGTTTGCAGTGACAGGACCTCTCCCGTCGGCAGGACCAAGCCGGCCCGCAAAGCCTCTGCAACACTCGGCGTAGTTTGGGTCATTTTTTAGGAACCTAAATTGATTTACCAGAGAGTAGGTATATATGGTGAATAATAGACCCTCCTAACTTTGGTGACTTCATTTAAATTCTTTAACAGCAGCCCAGTAGTTTGCAGCGTCAGAAGCTGAACCAAATCATGCACGGGACCTCTTCTTTACCCTTTGCCAGCTCACTGAAGCCGGCAATTGAGAGAACCGTGCCCACATGAGGTGGGCTGTCTCCGCCTTCGAAGACCACCTGCAGGTACGGCGCGCGAAGACATCGATGCTATACCATGCCTGATTCTTGACTGGCTGGCCTGTAGGGCTCCACACCCCTCGACCCGGGCTACCCGACAGCCACGGACCGGCAAATGGCCAAACCTTGCCATTTCAAGCAGGAGTTGGTTTTCAAGCGCGACACGCGGAAAGAAAAGAGCGACCAGCAACTGATCCTCTTTGCCAGCCGCAGCTTCTCGCTCCATCTCCTTGGTACGTCGCAGGTGCAATCGCTGGTGACGCCCTTTGGTGTGGAATCGAACCCGGCCGCCGAGGTTCGGCCAAGGCAGCCAGGGACTCCGCCGCCAGGCCCTCTTTGGGGTCACTCGTCTCGATGAATAGGTTCAAAGCATCGGCCTTCCAAAGCTAGAAAACTGCTCGAAATCACAAGGTCCTTGAGAGAAGTTCAGGGTGAAAAATCTCTGCGCCTCTACATGTGGAAACTGCCTGCGGAGCGCCGGTAGGCCGCGCTCAGCCAGACCAAGGCCCAGATCCGGCCGCGTCATGGCTCCACGAATTCCAAGGGGCACAAATGTGCTTCCCTGAAAATTGATTGTCCTTGCCTGAATCATCTTTTGCTGGGTTGACGGGTGCTGTCAAAGCCGTGAGGTTGCCTGCTTGGGCTCTGCCTGTTTGTGTTGGAGTTTTTCTTGCAGAACCTCTCTGTGAAGCCTTCTCCGTATTCTTGTGGCCGAACATGTAGATTCCAACACGATGCATTCCTGCCTCTAAGCCCGTACCGTTGAGATGCCGGTGTGTTGTAAACATGATGTCGGTAAGTGTACCCTGAGCGGTGCGTAAGAGCCTCTGTGAACCTGAACCCTAAATCCAAAACCCGAAATCTCAAGAACAAGTAATCTGAAGACTGCTCCTCAGACATTAAAAAAAACTAAAGCGCCTAAGAGACGGGAGGTTGGCCCCAGTGCGCTAATCAGCTAATCCTACTCGTATATGGCTTAGCCAATTTGCGGCGTTGAATCCCAGTTGCAGCCCCTTTTTGTAAAAAAAACTCCATGCAAGGAGGGAGCACTTCCCGTAAATCTTTGTAAATGAAAATAGTCCACAAATAGCGGCCTCATGAGCCCTGAGTTCTTTCATGCTCAAGCAAACCGTAAGGCTCAAAACCTGAACCCGAAACCTCAAATGCCTTGGCAAAGTATGAAAGTATGTATGTAAGGCCAAGTAGGCCCGACTGGCTTCCCAGACCTCCCAAGAGATCTCGTCCATGAGCTTCTCGTGCTTGATGCGTGCGTTTGCCTCAACCAATTGCTGCGACCGAAGCACCGGAAGATCTGCGTGTACGCTCTAAGGACTGGACGAAGGCCCAGGCTGTCCTGGACAAGTCCTGATAATAGCTGTGCCATTCGTGCCATGCAACCGCAGCGATAATCTGACAGCTTGAAGGCGTTCTCCTGCGGATTCATGTCCTGAACTTTTGCCACCACAGTCGCGGCAATTGCCTGGCCCGTCGTGACCCAGGTGAACAGGCACTTGTGCATCAAGGATCAACCCGCTGGGACTTTTGGCTTGGAGCGTTTCACTCAATGTCATCCACGGGAAGCACTGAGCAGATCTCACCCGACATCCGTTGTGTCAGTCCATTGTGTCCAGGTCTCGCTTGCCTTAAAGGGCATTCAAGTGAGTTTCAGTTTGAGGAAGATCTTAATGCCGCGTACGTCACCTTGCAGCGACGTATGTGAGCAGTATCCTGTCGGCTCGGCAAGAACCACTGCCTATGCATGCGCCGAGCAAGTTTGGTCTCCTCATGGCAGCGGCCACGGAGATCTATCAGCCAGCCCCGCAGCACCTTGCCAGTGTGCAGCAGCACCTGCAAAGCCTAGGACCTTCCCGTCTGTGCGGCATGCGAATGCCCACGTTCTGAGTAGTGCACGTCCTGGTGTCTTTTTGGCATTGCTGTCCGGAGACGCCATGCCTCTGTAAGATCCTCTTCTGCTTTTGTCAAGTCTTTGTTCTCAAGGAATACAGCTCCTCGAGCGTAGAAGGCCTAGCACTGGCAGAGGCGAGGCTCCGTAGCATGATTTCCCCACTCTTTGGGGTCGAAGCCTGCCATGGCGGGGACGGGGACAGCCGGATGGCAGCCCCTGCAGCTGCAACACAGAGCTCCAGCTCTCCGCTTCCAAGGTATGCCAGGCAAAGCCCAAGCAAGGCCAGCATCGAACTGGCAACAGAATGGGATGATGTGAAAACCAGTGTGACAGCTTCATGCTGCTCCCGGCCTCCCTTGATTTGCTGCGAGAGTGGATGCAGCTTCCTTACCAGCTTGAGGGTTGACGATTCTCTGCTTGATCTAAGACTTCTTAGTGACATTGGCCTTAGCGCGGCTTGGGCACATAGATCTGCACTCGCTGGTGTGGCAGTCTCTGGGGCAAAGTCTTGCGCAGACTGTAGATGTTGATGGCTTCACCGGCTTGCAGCTGACCCTCCTGAGAAAGACAAACATCACCATCGGCCACTGTCCGATCTGGACAGATAACCAAGACAGGCGTCAAGCTGCTGGTACGTCTCCTCTTTGCCTTGGACTTGCCCAATACGGGTGCCCACCACAACTTGTTTCTGAATTTGCCTTTGACCTCCAATCTCTTGTCTAGTCAAGAAGAAGAAGCCGAGCTTCCCAAGCCTTCTGAGGCCTGGCACTTTCAGTTCGCAGCATCAGGACATGTTGTACTTGCTCTCCCTCGGAGCCAAATACACGGCGCAGCTGATGCCCAGCCTCCGGCTTCATGGCTGCGAGAACTTGGTGGAAGGCCACCATAGCATCTTCGAAGTTTTCTTGCGCCAGCCTTGGGCCGATGGCAGGTTCGTAGGATGCTTTTCGAGATTTTGTCGTATCCTGGCGATCCGGCGTTGATGGGGCCGAAACAACCAAACCGTAGCAACACTACGCAATGTGATAGGAGGGCACTAAGCCATGCCATGCAGCAGCCCGTTCCCAAGTTCAATCAGCTGGTCCAGAAGGTGCTCCGATTCTCGGTCCTTCCCGCAATGACAGGACTGAGCATCCGAGGTTCTGAGCAGTGCCAAGACAGCGGCAGCGGGAGCAAGCAAGCAGCCGTAAAGAAGCTGGGAAGTCCTGCTCATGGCCCTCGGTGGCAGGCATGTCGCCTACAACGTCGGTTCAACCCCCTCAACACAAGAAGCGGTGCAACTCGGCACTGAAAGCAGACACACGAGCAAACACAATCGACCCCGACCTTCTGCCTGCGGAGCCGGGTCACACACGCAAGCTCGACGTTCAGCATCTCCCCCAAAGAAAACCGGAACGCAAAGCGTGCGGCATTATGACTCAGACCGCGCTGCTCATTGCTTCACATAGGAGCAGTGCTACTCACTTCACTCAGCCTGTCTTGGCTGAGGTTTGGCTGAGCAACAGCTTGAGGCCCTCCACGGCGGTGGCCAGGCTCCGCGGTGTTCTGCCCTGGTGCTGCCCGCCAGAGTGTTGCTGATAGAAGTAAAAATATCCAGTCTGGTCGGTGGTCAGTTTCTGTGGCCCATGTAGCTCATAGAATCTAATCCCTGGATACCACACCAAAACCTTATATAGCCCCCTCTGACACAGAAACCAGTGTTTGTCTAAATGACGAAGGTGACAACACACCGTAGTAATATTCAATGGTGCGCTCTTCGGCTCCTGCTTGGTGTGTGTACAGTGGGCTTTTTCCTTCTATGTGTGTTTTCCCTCTGTTCAGGCGCCGCAACAAAGGGCCAGGCACGTGTGTGATTTCGGAGAAGCTAGACTAATGGTTAAAACAAGGCTCAGACTGACGGATCCTGCCTGACAGTCCACTGCATCAACGTCTGCCCTGGCTTCCAGCAGTTTTTGGAAGGCTATCGCATTTCCTGGCGGCAGGTGTGGGAAAGGCACAACCTGCCTCAGCCTCTTTATTTTGTGGGTCCTACCTTCCTGCGCAGCGTAGTGAAGGGCACTGCCACCACCTTTGGAGCGCACTCCCAGGCTGGCAAGCGAGACCTGACGGCAAGGAGCCTTCTACTTACTAGGGGTTTAGGGGGAATTTATTATACGGGGACTATATTCCATTATTCCCTAACCACCAGTAAGTCTAGTCTGTAAACCTATTCTAGTTCAAAGAAAAACAAAGGTGATATGTGATGGGACGTGCCTTGGCCGCTGATCCGAGGTCTGACCAAAGCTCCTGCGACGGTGCCACAACGGCCACGTGCAGCGCTGTTTCGTTGCGCCGATTTGTGGCCTTGACAGAAGCAGCTCGTGATGTGGCCCTGGGTGTTCTTTGACTGAGGCTACCGCACACAGGAGTTCTGAAGCACCTCGTGCTTGAACTATGCAGGGTCATACCCAACGGATGCACGAGCACAATGTTCTGTAATGAGTAGCAAGGGAAGGAACGGGTCGCGCCGGCACCTGCAGACGTTTGCGCCAAAAGCTGTCTCGCTGCACTGGCTGCGCCATGACGGCATGCGCAGTGTAGCGGCGTGTCGCCTCAGCAGCGAGGGTTGGAAGCGGAAGGCTCAAAACTCAAAAGCACACAACCTGCATTTGAGCGTCAGGCCCTTGTATGTCTTGGCCAAGGCATCCGCGCGGTGCTGCACGAGTGTGCCAACCACCTGAGGCTGGACCCACTACTGCCTGCCTCTGCCAGAAGGTCCTGCTAAAACACATGAACCAAGTAAAAATAGAAGCCTTCAAAGCTCGCACCGCAAAATCGCATGAAAACTGTTCCACCAAAGCATCAGCAGTGCTTCAATTGTTTTGCCTTTACAGCCTCCGCGTGATCATTGCCAGCCGCCAAGTGCAGTGGCGTCCAACGCTCAATGTCGGAATGTTGAAGCACCGACCTGACGCCATCAGCAGGGCATGATGCAGAACACAATGGCTGAACAGCTCTCATTGGCCGGCCTGAGGTAGACCTCGTCGGACAGGTCCCCGCTTTCCAGGATCTGTATGACCTGCTATGAATAAAAGTTCTCACCTTTAACAGCAGAGACTACACACCACAGGCCCATAGGCATCAGAGAGCGCACATCTCAGCAAGTCACCCGTGCCAAAATATGCGGCTGGCCTTGCTGAGGAGCCCATCCCTAGCGGCATCCAGGAGCTCGTCCGGATTGTAGGCATCATCCATGCATGAGGAAAACGTATGCTTGCTTCGTTCGGGGATGGTTTATCATTCTACACTTCCCTCGGTGTCAGGAGTGTGAGGGCTGTTGCTCAAGCAGTGCGGCAGCGCCCGGCTTTTCTTTTGCATGTAAGATGCGTAGCTGCGCTAAGTGACAAATGGCAGGCGGGAAAAACTCGCAACAAAAAAAAAGAACTCTGCGCGGGCCATCATGTCTCAAGCAAATGTTGCCCTCAGGGGATTTGGCCTGCATGCCCTTGTCGATCTTCTCCACTGGTAGAGACATCTTTGAGATGCCCCAGGCCGCATTGCACAGCTCAAGCATCTTGAACCTGTAGCAGGCTCGGAAGAAGAGTCACCCTGGGTCCATCACAACTTGCCAGCCTGTCAGCCGTCTTTTCGATACGCCCAACCAACAACTCAAGCAATTTCTCATCTTGTGCCTGACGAGTGGCAGGTGCACATCTTGATTTTTTGTGCTCACGAAGTGAACCCTATGCACGCCCCACCGCCAGCTTGCCGAAGGCGTAGAGGAGATTTGCACAGCCTTGTGAAGCCGTGATGTTGGGACTCCGCACAGACTGCTCTCGCATAAACAACGCTACAGGACAGCATATGAGCTTCGAGCACTGCGGATCAAACTTGCCGATTTTGCGCTGAGCTTCTGCAGCAATAGCCTTTCAGGAAGCAGCACATGGGTGTTTTGAAAGCACGCGCGACTAGCTTGGGAGCCCAGGGTGGGAATTCGCGGCAGTTGGTTCCCAACGCGCACTGAGGCCTGAAACATCCTCTCATCTGTCCGGCCCGAAGTTGCAAAAGCCTGGAGAATGAGCAGTGCCCGTATTTGTCCCGAAACGTGACATAAGGCTTCCCAAAAGTAGAGGTACCATTTTCGGGGTCCCCCAAAAAAGACTATACTATTTCGGTTCCTCCTATTTGGGAAAAAAATCCTACATAGAGATCGAGTCCCCCGCCCATGCTGTGATGGCTAAGTTCTGCGGCTCGAACCTGGTAGTAGCAGCAAACTCCACCGCAGGCAATCTTGTCGACAGGACCCTGGGTTGCCGTTAGGGCACCTGAGTTGATCATCCCCCTATAGTGGAGAATGAAGTGGGAAAGAAAATGGAAAATGGAATGGAAGCTCTGGGCATATAGGGATTTAAGCTATTGCATTTCCCCAACATAGTAACTTCAATGAAGTTTATTTAAGTTCCTTAACCGCAACCCAGAAAGGGATCGCGGGCAAGAACCAATTCACTGGCGACCGGGGTCGCTTCCAGAAAACTTTGACGAGGGCGTGTATAAGGCGCAGCTCCCTCTGCGCATCACAGGCTTAGGACTTAGCCCTTCCGGGGAAACGCAGGGCTCTTAGATGCGGTCGTGGCATCTTTATTGCAGCTCTTTACTCAGCAGTGGACTTATCGTCTCAAGGGCGAGCAGCGCTGCATTTGCCGACGACTGGGTGCCTAGCTCTGGAAGCTTCTGCACCACTTGCTTGGCAAGCGCCTGCAGCGGAGCGACGTCTCTCAGCGGCATTACCGAAGACGCGCTCCACAGCAAAACAGACTGACCGGCCCACACCTCGAAGAGCTCGTCGTTCTGGACACCGAGTTTTGCAAACGCCCAGGAGACGTTGGCCAGGTCCTGACATAGGGCGCCCAACTTTGCTGGCATAACCGTTCCAATGACATAATTCGCAGCCGGCGCCCTGACATGCAAAGCACGATCTGCCTGGCCTGATAGCCCATGTCGGAAAGCTTTCCGATGATGTCTGTCCTAGCATGCACAACTTCCCGCGGCATACCAAATTTCACGCGCGACTCCCAAACTTGCAACTTGTAATTAAGCGGCAGGCGCAAGCTTGTGCAGAAACTGCTCATTGAGGTGCTCTGCACTGGCACAACACCACGCAGCTACCTGCGGCGCAGTCAGGGGCTTAGGGAAATCCGTGCCTGCACACTTCAAGGCTCGCACCGAAAGGTCACCGGCTGCCAGGTTGTGGCGGGGCAGCTCGGATGTGAAGCGGGCCTGGAAGGGCTTCTCAACCAGAGGGGACACTTGCGCATACAGGATTAATGAGATGGCAAGCGCAGTGATCTGCAAGCACTACACTCTTACCGGGGGTGCAGGTGTAACCACTTACTTGCCATAATGCCAAAACTTTCAAGATTCCCACCCCGCCACCATATGGCTGGAAAGCTGGGTAGACCTACAGTAGACAGTAGGTATCGCTTGGATGCTCATTTTCCGTGGCTCGGCTGCTCTTTGTCATGACGAGTGGTTCGCAAAATCAACATGTGCTCTTCAAACACATGTCTGGAAAGCAGTCCGCACGGGACAGTCATGCCGCCGTGGCCACAGGAGCCAAGCGCTGAAGTGCAAAGCTTCGCTGGCTCAGCTATCAGCAAACAGAGGGTTCTTAGCTGCAGGGCGCTTGGGTTGACCTTCGTCAAAGAGTGTTGTCCTGCCTGCTGCTGGTGCGCCGAAAAGGCTTGCTGCCCCTGCTGGCTTTGGAGCTGGGGGCCCCGGAGCTGGAGCAGCTGGCTTTGAGGAAGGCATAGTGGAGACAGGCACTGTCGGAGCAGCAGGTGTTGGGGAGGGGGTCGTTGTTGGGCGTGGTATTGCTTTGGGCGCACTAGGCGCCGGGGCCGCTGCCTCATCTTCAGCCTCAAAGGCTATGGCCGCGAGCGTTGGGTCTCTTGTCAAGACGGAACTTGCTTTCATCAGCACTTGCAGCTGATTGTTCAATGTCCGTCTTTCTTCCATGATGTGGGGTGGCTCTCCCAGAAGCTCAGACAGCTTTTCTGGTTGGTTCAGAGCATTGAGAAGCTCGAACTGCAACTTGTCCTGCACCGCTCTGACAAGGTAGAAGCCAATGGCTTTCGGAATCGAGTCTCTGATGTTTCTCACCGTGATCTCAAAATAAGAATCTAGGCGCTTCCGAATTTCCTGAACGAAGGGGCCACTATAGCGCTGCTGCTTGCGTTGAGCCTCCTTGTTCTTCAACAGGGAGCTCATGGTGCTACTGACACTTTGGTAGCCTTGCTTAGTGACATCTTTCACTTGCTGAAAGCTTTTCTCTGCCATGCCGGGCTCTTTCTTTTCCTCCTCAACTGGAGGAGGTGGCTTCTGCTGCTGGCTCTCGTACATGGGTTCCATGGACCCATGGTTGATCAAGTACTCGGGGTCATTGGTGAACAGGTAGCCGACGTAGCAAGCAACCTGCTCTTCCACAATCTTTCTGGTCTCATCCTTCTGCTCCTGGATGATGTTCTGAGTCATGTTTAGCACAGACTCTGCCATTTTGGGGAAACGGCGGAACACAGCGTGCGCCATGCGCTGTGACAGAACGTCCAGAGCCGCGGCAATGTTGTGCACACACTCCACCGCGGGAATCGCAAGCTTCTGCAAATGAGGGAGGGCCAGGAACTCAAACGTGTCAGGTGAAGGAAAGCCAGGCAACGAGTCACCCTCGTGCAAGCGGATGGCCTTCTCAATATCATCATCGGACATGTTTGAGGTGATTTTGGTCTCCATAAAATCAATGAGGAAGTCATTCATTATGGTGCGAATCTTTGCTCCGCCTGACCCTCCTTGTGAACCGCTGCCTGGAAGATTGCACATGTACCGCTGCAACTTTCGATCATACTTCCCCCTAATGGTGTTCTTGAACATCTCACAGTAGTCTGTGACTAAGGTCCACATCACCTGGACCCTTTCTGCAGTTTCCAGCGGCACACCTTCTCCGAGCTCGTCCAAACGATCTTGGACAGACCTGCGTTTTTCATTGATCTCCTTTTTGATTTCGGGGAGGAACCGTCGGATGTGCTTGAAGAGAATCTGCGTCAACTTGTCAATCAAAACTGGGGTTCCAATCATCCCTGGCGGAAGCTTGCTGTAAACTCGGTGGTTGTCAAACCAATCCTTCTCATCTTTCAAGGACTCCTTGACTGCCTTCTTGTTCACAATGTCTTGCTGGCTGCGCATCTTCACACCGACATAGCCAAGGCGCAAGGGCACATCCTCACCTCTGAGCATGGATGCCGCATCAGTGCCTTGATCCATGATGTCGATCTTTGTGATAACGCCTATTGACCGCAAGCCCTGGGGGTCGACCTGGCGAGCTAGTTGGAGGCTGTCCGAAACAGACATGTCCTGATTGGCTGGCAGGACTGCCAAGACAATCGTGCGAGGGTCGTTGATGTAGTGGAGTGTCATGTCTCTCGTCAATTTTTCGATATCCTCCCTCTGATCACTGCCCTTCACTGGCACCCTAGTGATGCCTGGCAAGTCAATCAGTGTAAGGTCTGGCGCCCCAGTGGCGTAGATGGTAAGAATGATAGGGTCATTAACAATGCCTTTGTTGGATCCTGCCACTTGGTCGGTTTGACGCTCGATTTCTTGTCTGACCTCATCAAAGTTGGTGAACTTTTTGTCCCCGACCTTGGCACAGCACATGCTGCATCAGATCTAGATGTATGCGTTGGACATCTGCACACAGAAAACACCCAGGCCGCTCCAGAAACTTACTAGCTTGCAGCAAAGCACTTTGTCAAAGACAGCCCATGCCTTGTCTTCGGCATACTCCTGAGTGTTCAAGTGCACAAGCCTCAGCTCCAGGGGTCGTCGAGTGACCACGCCCCCGCCGCGCGGCAGGAAGTCAAGGCCAACAATGGACTCGATCAGGGAACTCTTTCCTCACCGTCAATCTGAATATGAAAGAAGAAGCGGTGCCAGTGGGTTTACTGCTTCCTGTATACAAACACGTGACCCTTCTCTACCTCTCAACTTGCAGAACAAGTTGCCGCTGCTTTGCGTCCCGATTGCCGCGATTCTCGGCAGGCTGATGTAATGCTGCAAGCCCACGTCCCGGAGCTCATCTACGATAGTTATCAGCTGCCGGAGGTTTTCGTAAATGGCAGACATCTTTGTTAGCTACGCCCGGCTCTGTCGCGCGTGTCCAGGCTTGAGCCAAAAACAACATTTGCAACTGTCATGTCCGCAAACAAGCAAGATTGGCTCCAGAATCTTCAGTCAGCCAAGAGAACATGAGCATTCTTCAAGAAGTTGACATCTGCTTAGCTAAGTCGATTGCCATGAGCTCAGAATCGGCACAGCTCAGCTTGGCGAAGGCCCAGGTGGAGTTCATGACCTGTTTGCATAGTAGTTTCCATTCTATTTTCCATTCTACCTATATAACCCCAATATACTATAGTAGTTTCCATTTTCTTTTCCATTATCTATAGTAGTTTCCATTTTCTTTTCCATTATACCTATATATCCCCAATATACTATAGCACCATTATTCCCAAGGTTCTTACGTGTTATGCTGCACTCACAGAGACTTGCGGATGCGAAGTGCCACCGGGAAACGTTCTGCAGTTGGAATTGCGCCATCCGCGGCAGCAGCTGTGCTCTGAGGGCGGACCTTGGTCTCAGCTGCAGCATAATATGTTAGAACCTTGGGAATAATGGTACTATAGTATATTGGGATTACTTAAACTTGGGAATAATGGCACTATTGTATATAGGGGTTATATGGTAGAATGGAAATAATGGTACTATAGTATATTGGTGGATATACAGGTATAATGGAAAAGAAAATGGAAACTACTATAGATAATGGAAAAGTAAATGGAAACTACTATAGTATATTGGGGTTATATAGGTAGAATGGAAAATTAACTGGAAACTACAATAGTACATTGGGACCTTAGGGTCACATGGGGTGCTTTTACAGGCGCTGGTATGCCTCGCCGAGGGCAAGCTGCAAAGGTGGCTTTGCCAACGGACACATCCAAGCAAAGCGTTCCTACGCGTGCGCCAGTTTCACTGCAGACTGAATATTGATGTAAACCTCACGGTAGGTTCTGCGGTCGTTGATCCTGCAGTCGTCGCCGCTTGGATCTCCCTAGCAATTTCATGAGGAATCGATTTGATGATTGTTTTAAGGTTGGGCCCAGCTTGATTCAGAACTGCAGCTGCCTTCAGCACTACGGGAACTGGCCAGGCGTCAAACAGGATCTGCGGAGAAATGGGCTGCAAATCTGGATGTTCGAATTGTTCCTGTGACTCCCACTGAAGCTTTGCATCCCAGCGCCGGAGTTTCCAAACGTATCAATCCAGATGGCTGGGACGAACAAATGGCTAAATGGCCCAAGCTACCGCACCTCCCGGTCATTTTCTTCCTACAGCGCCGTTCCGAGGAGGGGCTCAGCAACCAGCAGAAGGCGCGCTTACACAAATCAGCGCTTTGAGTGTGCGTGAAGGTGGCTGAGGTCGAGCGGCGGTTTCTGAGCCCCTCTGCCGGATCATTCCGGCGAAGAATGGCGAATTTCTGCGGGCCCCTCTCAGAGGCTGAAGTTCTCAGGCCTTGTGTTAGAAGATTAGCCGCCCTTCGCTGTCCACTTGCCAGTCCTCAGCAGCACAGGCTTGCAGGACTTGGGGAACCGTTCTCGGCAATTCTGCAAGGAACCGTGGGCCACTGCACACGTTGCGCTGGGAGCTGTTGTTGATCCTCAGCCTTTGCGATTCAGGAGCGCTGAGCAAAGCGCCCGAAGCTGAGTCTAGCCCACCTCCCATGGACACGGAGGGGCATCTTCTTGCTGCCCAGAAGACCTCCGCCTTACAGCAGATGCCAGGCACATACGACTGGAAAAGGCTGACACCCGCCTGCAGCTGGCTATAGCTGGCTGATGCTGATAGCTGGCTGATGCTGGCTGCACAACTACTCAAACTATGTAAGCTTGCGTAAGCTATCGTAAGCTCGTGACTTCCACCGCTCTGCGCTTGTTGTCCGCCCAGGCGTTTGAGGGCGGCCAAACCTGAGAGAGCTGTGCGACCAGTTGGGGTCGGCAAGGGAAGATCGGTAGCCTACTGGAGATCCTGAGGCTTACTCGCTGCATCTCTCTGCAGCTGTGGCGCGTAGGCGATGGAGCCGAGACAGGCATTGTACGGCGCCGGGATGGCGCCTCCTTGGCCTCTACGCGGCTGGGGAGCTCCTCAGGCAGTTCTCAAAAAGTCTCACCTTGATAATAACAAGTCGTGTTTGGGGTCCTCTTGGGCCTGCCAGGCATCATGTCCTTGCGTGACACCTCTTCCTGAGGCAACAAGAGCTGACTCCACCATTGCACAAGGCTCTCGATTGCTTACACCATCTTACACCCTTCCAGCCTGCAGCTTCCTGTGCCTTCGACCCCAGCCTGGCATTGTCAGCAAGGAAAGAACTCGTGAGAACGTGCTTCAGCTCACTCAACTAAATGGGGCCCAAGTTGCACTTGCGATGCGTAGCGTCGCATGTCTGCGAGCCTCTCCATCTCCTCGTGGAACAAGCCACTCTTGGAAGCGCACTGGGCGCCCACTTGAACTTTGGCTACCTCTTCCCGCTTAGCCATCACCAGTGTCCCAGCAGCCTGTTCCAACTGCTCGAAGCTGGGCTCAATTCGGGGGCTTCGACCCGCGGGCTGCCTGGCACACTGCTTCATGTTCTAGCGCTAGAAGCAGGACATCTATTGCAGCAACTGTCTCAAAAAACACCTTGCGACCAACCATGGCGCTTCGTGTCAGGAATTGCGCTGTGCTTCTGACCTCGGCGTCTGCTGCGTCTGCTGACCCCGCTTCTCTGCAGCATCTCCTTAAGTGTGCGCGGGCAACTTCACAAGAGCTGCACAACAAAAGGCAGTTCAAATGCGCAATCCATCTTCTGGCGAGGGTCTTTGAGGTGCGCTGGAGCTCGTTGCGGTTCTTGCAGGGTGATGGTTCTTTTCTAGGACCACTGCATGCCTAACGCAGATGCATACTGGCCTGGATTCTCCCCCAAGAGATGCGGAGACACGACGTGCAATGGAGCCGATCGTTTGCAAACTCAGCTCCTTGCAGGCAGTGTCACGGCAAGCTCCAGCTGGAGGGGTGGGTAGCCCAAGGCTGACTGGGAATAATGGAAAAGAACATGGAAACTATAAGGATTACAGGGATTATATAGGGGTTCTATAGGGATATTGGAGATATATTACTTTAGACACCGCATCGCTGAAGCAGCACGGCAGAGTCTGATGGTCCGGGACTAGAAAAGACACGAGCTACCACACTACTCCCCACACTAGACAGGCAAGCACACACTCTCAGTTCAGCTTGTCGACGGCATGCCACGATATAGCTGACACATCACCAGTAGTACAGCCCCCTTTAGGGTTTTAGGGTTTACCCTGGTTTCAATCTGTTTTCAGCAAAGCAGCGGAGTCGGCGAGATCAGCTCGTGAAATGTCGAAGACCTTTTTGTGCTCAACTCGGATGGCCTCATCCTCTGGACCCGGCGTCTCATACCTCAGAATGAGCTGGGCTGTTGTCAAGGAGCTTAGTTTAAGTTACTATGTTGGGGAAACCCTATTATTTATTAGATATATATATATATACCCATTCTGGTAACTTGATTTAAGTTCCTTAACAGAGCAACCCAGGTAACCAAGGAGGGCTAAACAGAACTTCAACGCCTTCCCGGGCGCCTGGGTTCCAGGCTCTTGCTCTGGCTCCTCATTGATCTCAGGAGATGGTGAGGCACATAGCTTAGCCACAGCTCCACGGAGTTGGCCCTCGAATTCCTCCATGACCTAAATGGGGATTTTCCCAAAATTAGGGTACCATTTGGGGGGACCTCATAATAAGGATTATAGTATTTTGGTGTCTAAATTGGGGTCCCCTTATTTAGGGAAACTACCAAATTGGATGACTGGAAGCTCGCGGAAGCGCATGAGCCACTGCACTGTCACTGTTCCACTGCCAAGGCACACTGCTGAAAATCCGACGCTCGGTGGCTTCCAGCTGCTGCCGATTCCTCAGCTTATTCGACACCACCCGTCAATCTGCTCACAGCTCACAGGCTCAGGCTCTTGGAGGAACAAAAACTTGCCTGAATGGTGCTGTCCGGCTGCTCCTCTCTGAACCGCTCGCGAAGATGCTCCTCGCAGGCCTCTAGGTGCCTGACATGGACATGCAGGCTCTGCTGCCTTCTTGACCAACATGCACAGCTGGCAGATTCGATGTGAATAAATCGTAATAAATCGAATCTTTCTTTCTTTCTGGGCTGTGCCACGGTAGCCTTCGGGTCTCATCTCGCCAACGACGTTGGTAAGCTTCGGCCTGCCAGAGAGTGAGTGCCGAGGAGAAAGACAAAAGGCAAGGCGGCCTGTTGAAGAGTCTGATCGCGCAGAGATTTCAAGTCCTGATGGCTGGCTGAGCTGACACTCTGATGCCAACTGGACAGCTCGGACCCTAAGCGGATTGCTGGCCCTCAGCAACAATCAGAAGACCCTGAAGGCACTGCTTTCTTCCGCCGCGGTGTAATGCCGCTGCCGAGCGTGCCCTCAAGCCCTCTTCAGCAGCCACGATTCAGGATATAGCTTGGCAAGCTTGTGCCCCCTGGGTCAACAGGGATGGGATCTGCCATCCAGGCTTTGTTTGGCGCATCATTTGTAAAAGGCGGAAATGCCGCCATCAATCAAGATATCTTACCGCCCATTCCACACTGAGGGACGCAACATTGTTGATGATGTTGGCCTCGACCTTCTGCAGCTTCTTTGCCCTTTGCTCTGAAGCGAGCACAGTTTACCCGCAAACCTTCAGGGCCAGCCGCATGGCTGCCCATCGGCTCAAGGCACACGCTTGCAGACGATTTCCAAACTGGCGCTGGATGATGGAGGAGAAAGGCTGCTTTGTGGAATGGTTTCGTGGCCTCATCATGGAAATAAAATTCAAAGGCGCGTTATTGAAAAGGATGTCCAGCTTTCCCCATTTGTCCGTGGCATTTTCTCTGGCGTGCATAGTCTCTGCCTCGACATTGACATCACACGTCATGAGGGCTTAGGGAACACCGTGCTGGCTCGAAATCTGCCTCTACAACTTGGCGGCCCTCCTGAACGAAAATGCGAACA